CAGATAGTCCTTTTACAAATATACCAAATATCCTTGTACAAAATAGTACCAGATAGTCCTTGTACAAGATAGTACCAGATAGTCCTTGTACAAGATAGTACCAGATAGTCCTTGTACAAGATAGTACCAGATAGTCCTTGTACAAGATAGTACCAGATAGTCCTTGTACAAGAAAAGTACCAGATAGTCCTTGTACAAGATAGTACCAGATAGTCCTTGTACAAGATAGTACCAGATAGTCCTTGTACAAGATAGTACCAGATAGTCCTTGTACAAGATAGTACCAGATTGTTCTTGTACAAGATAGTACCAGATAGTCCTTGTACAAGATAGTACCAGATAGTCCTTGTACAAGATAGTACCAGATAGTCCTTGTAAAAAGATAGTACCCAGATAGTCCTTTTACAAGATAGTACCAGATAGTCCTTGTACAAGATAGTACCAGAATTGTTCTTGTACAAGATAAGTACCAGATAGTCCTTGAACAAGAAGTACCAGATAGTCCTTGTACAAGATAGTACCAGAAAAGCTTGTACAAGATAGTACCAGATAGTCCTTGTACAAGATAGTACCAGATAGTCCTTGTACAAGATAGTACCAGATAGTCCTTGAACAAGATAGTACCAGATAGTCCTTGTACAAGATAGTACCAGATAGTCCTTGAACATTATAGTACCAGATAGTCCTTGTACAAGATAGTACCAGATATCCCTTGTACAAGATAGTAAACCCGATAGTCCTTGTACAAGATAGTAAACCCGATAGTCCTTGTACAAGATAGTACCAGATTGTTCTTGTACAAGAAAAGTACCAATAGTCCTTGTACAAGATAGTACCAATATCCCCTTTTACAAGATAGTAAACCCGATAGTCCTTGAGCAAGATAGTACCAGATAGTCCTTGTACAAGATAGTACCAGATAGTCCTTGAACATTATAGTACCAGATAGTCCTTGTACAAGATAGTACCAGATAGTCCTTGTACAAGATAGTACCAGATAGTCCTTGAACAAGATAGTACCAGATAGTCCTTGTACAAGATAGTACCAGATAGTCCTTGAACATTATAGTACCAGATAGTCCTTGTACAAGATAGTACCAGATAGTCCTTGTACAAGATAGTACCAGATAGTCCTTGAAACAAAATAGTACCAGATAGTCCTTGTACAAGATAGTACCAATAGTCCCCTTTTACAAGATAGTACCAGATAGTCCTTGTACAAGATAGTACCAGATAGTCCTTGTACAAGATAGTACCAGATAGTCCCCTTTTACAAGATAGAAACCAGATAGTCCTTGTACAAGATAGTACAGATAGCCCTTGTACAAGATATACCAATAGTCCTTGAATAAGATAGTACTAGAAAGTCCTTGTACAAAATAGTAAACCAGATTTGTTCCTGTTTCAAAAAAGTACCAGATAGTCCTTGTACAAGATGTACCAGATAGTCCTTGAACAAGATTTTACCAGATAGTCCTTGAACAAGATAGTACCAGATAGTCCTTGAACAAGATAAATACCAGATAGTCCTTGAACAAGATAAATACCAGATAGTCCTTGTACAAGATAGTACCAGATAGTCCTTGTACAAGATAGTAACCAGATATCCTTGAACAAGATAGTACCAGATAGTCCCTTGAACAAGATAGTACCAGATTTGTCCCCTTTACAAGATAGTACCAGATAGTCCTTGAACAAGATAGTACCAGATAGTCCTTGAACAAGATAGTACCAGATAGTCCTTGTACAAGATAGTACCCGAAAGTCCTTGAACAAGATAGTACCGATTTGTCCTTGAACAAGATAGACCAGATAGTCCTTTAAAAAGATAGTACCAGATAGTCCTTGAACAAGATAGTACCAGATAGTCCTTGTACAAGATAGTACCAGATAGTCCTTGTACAAGATAGTACCAGATAGTCCTTGTACAAGATAGTACCAGATAGTCCTTGTACAAGATAGTACCAGATAGTCCTTGAACAAGATAGACCCAATAGTCCTTGAACAAGATAGTACCAGATAGTCCCTGTAAAAAGAAAATACCAGATTGTCCTTGTACAAGATAGTACCAGATTGTCCTTGTACAAGATAGTACCAGATAGTCCTTGTACAAGGTAGTACCAGTTAGTCCTTGTACAAGATAGTACCAGATAGTCCTTGTACAAGATTCTATGTCATCATTGAAGGCTCTTGACTCATATAATGACTCCAACAACATGCTCGTTGGAGAAGCCAGGTATAGATACTCAAAAATTAGGGACAAAGGAANATTTAATGTACAATTGCTATGGATCCCATCACACATTGGATTACTCCTTCATGATAAAGTTGATATGTTAGCCAAGAAGAGTATCGAGAAGGAGAATGTAGAATATAACTTTGGTATAACTGTGTCTAGCATTTGGAATAATATTAGGGGAGAAGTAAATAATGAAAAATGATTGTTATAGGAATGCAGTTAGAAGCCTGAATAGATCTATAACCCACTATGATAACATGAACGAGATAAGTATGTTTATGGACAAATTGCAATGTGAACAGACTGACTGATGTGTAGTGGCCAGGCTTAGGCTTGGTTACAAGTACTTTACTGATGATGTAGTGGCCATCTAGGCTTGGTTACAAGTACTGGACTGATGTTGTGGTAGCCAGGGTTAGGCTTGGTTACAAGTTTCTGACTGATGTTTGTCAGTGGCCAGGGTTAGGCTTGGGTTTCAAGTACTGACTGATGTTGTAGTGGCCAGGCTTAGGCTTGGTTACAAGTACTGACTGATGTGTAGTGGCCCAGGCTTAGGGTTGGTTACAAGTACTGACTGATGTTGTAAATGGCCAGGCTTAGGCTTGGTTACAAGTACTGACTGATGTTGTAGTGGCCAGGCTTAGGCTTGTTACAAGTACTGACTGATGTTGTAGTGGCCAGGCTTAGGCTTGGTTACAAGTACTGAGATTGTAGTGGCCAGGCCTTTAGGTTGGTACAAGTACTAAATGATTTGTATGGCAGCTTAGGCTTGTTTTCAATACTGATGATGTAGTATAGCCAGGCTTAGGCTTGGTTACAAGTACTGACTGATGTTGTAGTGGCCAGGCTTAGGCTTGGTTACAAGTACTGACTGATTGTAGTAGTGGCCAGACTTAGGCTTGGTACAAGTTTCTGATGATGATGTGGGCCTGGCTTAGGCTTGGTTACAAGTACTGACTGATGTTGTAGTGGCCAGCTTAGCTTGGGTTACAAGTACTTCTGGCAGTTCGGGAGACCCCAAGTGATGACAAACTTAATGTAAATTAGTGATTCAAACATTGGGCACTCTCTTGAACAACTATGTGCATAATTGTCCATTATTTGGGGAATCGGAACAGGCAGTATTAACCTATGTGCATGTCAAGATATCTTAATAATGAAAATAAGAAACCAGAAAATACATAACAATTTCCTAAATTTGCTTGTAACAGATAAGTGAACTTAGATATGTAGATATAAATCAAAATTTCCTGTTAAACTTTGGGGCCAGTTCCTAGGCCTTTTGTGAATCCATATGTTTGCGCTACCTCCACAGGATGGATAAAGGGGTGCACAATAAACTAGCCTTTTGTGGCAAAATCTATCAAAACTAATCTAGTCCTTGTACAAGATAGTACCATAGTCCTGACAAGATTCCAGATAGGGCTTTAACAATTTTAGTACCAGATAGTCCTTGTACAAGATAGTACCAGATAGTCCTTGAACAAGATAGTACCAGATTGTTCTTGTACAAGATAGTACCAGATAGTCCTTGAACATTATAGTACCAGATAGTCCTTGGTCTAGTCACCAGTTACGTAAGTTAGTTACGTTAAACATAGTTATATTAGCCTAGCTAAACCCGTATGGGTCGTTCCGCCCAAGGAGTGGTGAAGGCTCGATCCTCGGTCCTAAAGAAGGATAGAAGAAAACATTGTTGAATTTCTTAAGTATTTACTAATGATAATTCCTTACATTTATAATTATTATTATTATTATTATTATTATTATTATTATTATTATTATTATTATTATTATTATTATTATTATTATTGGGAAACGCTAATTATATAAGGGCTATCAGCGTCATGGGAGACTATCAGCTTTAACTCGAGGAACCTGGAAGACAGCTCCTCTTCCTCACTGCAAGAGCCCTTTACCAGCATCGACTCACCCCTTATAAAGGGGCAATCCCCTTAGCACTAGAGTCACCAGGGGCGCCAGTGTTGTGAGTGCTGACCAGGGGAAGGGACCTCATAAGGAGTGACTCGTCCCCTGTTGTGTGTGGCAGACTTCAGGGACCGTCTCTCCCATACACCTTCTCTGGAGGCGCTGGTCACAAGATTGAGAGGTTCTTGAGGTGTGGGAGTAGGCGTAGAAGGTGGAGGAGGTTCTAAGGTAGATAGGAAGAGGGTTGTATGGGGTTGAAGCTGCTGGTTCTTATTTGTAGAAGGATTTATTAGAGGTTCTAGAGCAGTAGAAGGTGTAGGTGTTGCAGAAGGTTCTAAGGTATGTAGGAAGAGGGTTGTATGGGGTTGAAGCTGCTGGTTCTTATTTGTAGAAGGATTTATTAGAGGTTCTAGAGCAGTAGAAGGTGTAGGTGGTGCAGGTGGATCTACAAAGAACAGTGAGTGGGGGCGAGACTTGTCAGTCTTTGCGGAAGGAATGCTTGTTAATTGAGGGACACGGAGAATCGTTGGAGTGGGTCTGCACGGCGTGAAGGTACTGAAGATGGGCCAAGATGGAAGACTGTAGTTAGATACCGTGCTGGTAGGTTCCTTGCTAGTGTTTGTGATATTGAGGGGTATCTGGAGGTTGGTAGGAGGTACCCAAGCTGAAGAAGCAGGTGTAATCTCTGCGGGTATCAGTGTTGATGTCTGTAAGGGCAAAGAGTTTGATTTTTCTGCATGTGATGATAGACTGTCAGTGGTAGAGGCAGATGTGGTAGAGATGTTTTTTTGAAGTGTGGGTTTGGGTGTCTGTGTTGTGGTGCTTGTGGTGTGTGCTGTGGTGCTAGTGGTGTGTGATGTGGTGCTGGGTGTGTGTTGTGGGGCTTGTGATGTATGATGTGGTGTTGGGTGTGTGTGTTGTGGTGCTGGTGGTGTGTGTTGTGGGGCTTGTGATGTATGATGTGGTGTTGGGTGTGTGTGTTGTGGTGCTGGTGGTGCATGCTTTGGAGCTAGTGGTGTGTGTTGTTGTGTTGGTGGTGTGTGCTATGGGGTTGCTGGTGTGAGTTGTTGTGTTGGTGGTGTGTACTGGGGCATAGGTGGTGTGTGTTGGGACACTGGTGGCGTGTGTTGGGACACTGGTGGTGTGTGTTGGGACACTGGTGATGTGTGTACCCCAGTTCTCCTTACTCACCATCAATGAATCAGGCAAAGCTACAGTCATAGCATCGGGAAGGTGGACACTACTCTTTCCAGGAACAACTGTAATCTTTCTGGTAGACAAAACCTGACTGGAAGACGTGACAGTTGCTACATCAAGCGACCGTGGTAAGATTTTCGGATGACTCAAGGTGATAATTTGAGAAGTGTAATGACTGGCTGGTAACCCAGAGGCGCTTAAAGAGTGAGAAGAGGCTACAAACGTGTCTTTAGGGAAGACATTAGTTGAGGACAATACACCCGCTCCAGTTCCAGCGTCTGCCTTACGTGAGGACCTAAAGGGAATAAATGGAGTAATATTTCTGAGAGACTCATTGTTGACAAGATTGTTACTATCGGTGAGAGGAGTGGAAGATCTTGTGTTTGAGGCTTCGATAGGAAGAGCAGTGCCAGGAGGGACTACAAGGGCCACTTGTCCGGAAGCAAGTCTAGCTGGCACTAAGGTGATACCACCACCAATCGTCACGGACTTCGGCGATTCTGGGAACATCGAAGTCTGGGGGTTCTTGAAGGACATTGCGAATGATCCATCCTGTCTGTGACCGCCAGTGGTGGAGTCTGTGGTAGTTGTGACTACCAGTGGTGCTGTAGTGGGCATATGGGCGGGTATGGGTGGTGCCACAGTAACCACACCACCACCCACCATCAGGCTGGGACACCCTGGCACGCCCTGCCCACCTGTAACACCGCTGCTGACAGAGTTAAGATGGGAGATCACCTTTGAATGGAGGTCCTCAGGAACACCACTTATCCCCGCCAGATACCTCCTCACCTCCACGGCGCACTGCACAAACCCAGCTCGGTATTTAGCCTTCTCGTCGCCGCCAATGGGCCGCACACCACCCATAAGCCGCCCACCGCCCACACTTCTGCCACCCTCTTGATGTAGAGCCTGGACGTACCTCACTGTCATTTCCAGGATATCTGCCTTCTCTAGCTTGTTATATCTGGACGGCTGAGGAAACAAAAGATGAACTGTACCAATCAGAGGTAAACAAACGCAGGATCGAGCCCACAGGAACACATAACTCACACAGGATGGTCACTACGTTAGATAATGAAAGAAAAAACACAATTTTCTTTCGATTTGAAGTGTTTTAATGTGTTTGTTTTAAAACACGATTAAAAATAATAGAAAAATATGGTAAAATGGGATTTATTGAATATTTCGACATTATGGAGGAGTTGGTGGCGTTTTTACAGATGTAAAAAGAATTGATTGCCCAGTTTTATTTCAGATTCTTAATTTTTTGGGGGGGACTATACAATTTTTTTTTGAGAATGCACTTACGTCTTTCCTGAGAGCCTCCAGGACCAGCAGCTTGAGCTCATTGAGACACCGATTGATACGTTGACGTCTCTTCTTCTCCATCAATGGCTTATTACTCTGTGGGATGAGGGTGCTAATGTTGTATTTGTCTAGCTGTGCTTGCAGGGGTCGAATCACAGCTCCTAGTCCCCCCACACACACATACACATACACACAGCGTAGTCAGGAAGTGGAATAGTTTGGGAAGCGATGTAGTGGAGGCAGGATCCATACATTGCTTTAAGAAGAGGTATGATAAAGCTCATGGAGCAGGAAGAGTGACCCAGTAGCGGCCAGTGAAAAGGCGGGGCCAGGAACTGTGACTCGACCCCGGCAACCACAAATAGATGAGTACAGTGGAGACAGAGAGGTTCCCAGCAAACCGAGGTGGTAGGGTGCACCAGCAAGTGCTGGACACACTACACACAACCGAAGAGGAGGTGAAGAGGTTGCTAGATGAACTAGATACCTCGAAGACAGTGGGACCAGATAATATCTCTCCTTGGGTCCCGAGAGAGGGAACAGAGGCACTGTGTGCACCACTAACAACAATCTTCACACAATTTATGGAAACTGGGCGACTATCTGAGGTGTGGAAGACGGGAAATATAGTCCCAGTTTTTAAGAAAGGAGACAGACAGCACTAAACTACAGACCAGTGTCACTGACTTGTATAGTATGCAAATTTATGGAGAAGATTATCAGGAGAAGACTGGTGGAGCACCTAGTAAGGAATGATCTTATACATGACAACCAGCACGACTTCAGGGACGGGAAATCCTATGTCACAAATCTACTGGAGTTCTACGACAAGGTAATGGAAGTAAGATAAGAGATAGAGGGATGGGTAGACTGCATCTTCTTGGACTGTAAGAAGGCTTTCAACACAGTACCACACAAGAGACTGGTTGAAAAGCTAGAGGAATAGACTCAGAGGTGTCCCTATCAACAGACGATGTAAAACCAATGAGGAGTTCAAGCGGATGAGGTTTAGACAAGTCTACAAGGATATCTGGACAGGCTACAAGCCTGGTCCACCCAGTGGCTCCCGGAGTTTCAACCCACGAAGTACAAAGTTATGAATCTTGGGGAAAGACAAAGAAGACCGTAGACGGAGTACAGCCTAAGAGGTCAAAGGCTGCAAAACTCACTCAATGAAAAGGATCTTGGGGAAAGCATCATACCGAGCACATCTCCTGAGGCGCACATCAACCACATTACTGCACCATATGGGCGCCTGGTAAACTTGAGAATAGTGTTTCGACACCTGAATAAGGAGTCATTCAAGACTCGGTACACCGAGTACATCAGGCCAATAATGGAGTATGCAGCACCAGTATGGAACCCACACCTGGTCAAGCACGACTAGTCTCGGAGCTAAAAGGCATGTCCTACGAGGAGAGGTTAAGGAAATCAACCTGACGACACTGGAGGACAGGAGAGATAGGGGGGATATAATAACGACATATAAAATACTGAGCGGTATTGACAAGGTGGACAGAGACAGGATGTTCCAGAGATGTGACACAGAAACAAGGGAACACAGTTGGAAGTTGAAGACTCAGATGAGTCACAGGGATATTAGGAAGTATTTCTTCAGTCATAGACTTGTCAGGAAGTGGAACAATCTGGAGAGTGTAGTGGAAGCAGGATCCATACATAGTTTTAAGACGAGGTATGATAAAGCTCATGAAGCAGGAAGAGAGTGGACCTAGTAGCCACCAGCGAAGAGGTGGGGCCAGGAGCTATGAATCAACCCCTGCAGCCACAATTAGGTGACTACACATACATTTCAAACAAATCATAGTTTTGATCCAAGAAAATGGAGGGGTGCCTCCACCTCCTCTCATCAAGAACCCTTCACAGGCAAATCACACGCTATTTAAACCTCTAAACCACTCAGTATAACCACCCATCAAAGGTTTATTTTTAATATTTTTGTCGACAAAAAAATTCTAGAAATTTTCAGAATACTAACCTTTCTAGTGTCATTTCTGGAGGCTAGAGCGCCCTCTAGAACACTGCTAGTAGTCCCAGAATCCATCACGCACATGTCCACAGCTCTATATCATCCAAGGAAATGGGTATGGAGCTATATATCCCCTTAGACACGCTGATATACATATCCACAACACCGTCTCATCGTGGCTAAGACCACAACTCCACATTCACTGGACACGCTTCTATCCACTTATCTACTGGATATTCTCACTTAACACATGTCCACTCACAAGCACCGTGTCCTCAAAGCCACGTAGCAGCAGCCACGTATCCAGGGGACACGCGGATACACACGCAGACATGTATCCTTGAAGGGAGGTGAGAGGAGAGTGAGTGTCTCCGGACTGGGTAAGTCTAGCGAAGTCTCCCTCTCAAGACCGTCCGGGGAGGGGGCCGTCTTTCACCGACCCTTTCTACATTTTACCCCTTTACCGACGTTTCGACTGCCTCTACTTCCGGTTCTGCTGTTGCTGCTGCTCCTGCTGGCTCTGCTGCACCTCCTGCTGGCTCTGCTGCACCTCCTGCTGGCTCTGCTGCACCTCCTGCTGGCTCTGCTGCACCTTATATATTTTTAAGTCGAGAATTTCCATCCTTATTATTATTATTATTATTATTATTATTATTATTATTATTATTATTATTATTATTATATTGAATCTAGTTTTTTCAACTACGATTATTTTCATAACTTGTCAATGTTTCGCTCAGAGTGGCTGCTTTCATTACAGCGATGTTTCGCTCACACAACCTGCCCTTATTATATCAGTAAGGAAAAACTCATTTGAACGACATTGTCGTTATTAAGAATCGTCTAAATAAGGAGAATTAAAATTCTGTATGTCTATTTTTGGTATATATCTTTATTAGTGTCTTATAAATAGTATATATGCGAATATTTGAGTAATAAAGCGGAGTATTAGGGATATACTGGGGTATAATGGTATATATGGGGTGGGTATGTGCTGGCTTGGGCTATGATTACAGCAGTGTCTGGTGGTGTAAGTTACTGTGGGGTTACAGCAGTGTCTGGTGGTGTAAGTTACTGTGGGGTTACAGCAGTGTCTGGTGGTGTAAGTTACTGTGGGGTTACAGTAGTGTCTGGTGGTGTAAGTTACTGTGGGGTTACAGCAGTGTCTGGTGGTGTAAGTTACTGTGGGGTTACAGCAGTGTCTGGTGGTGTAAGTTACTGTGGGGTTACAGCAGTGTCTGGTGGTGTAAGTTACTGTGAGGTTGCAGCAGTGTCTGGTGGTGTAAGTTACTGTGGGGTTACAGCAGTGTCTGGTGGTGTAAGTTACTGTGGGGTTACAGCAGTGTCTGGTGGTGTAAGTTACCGTGAGGTTGCAGCAGTGTCTGGTGGTGTAAATTACTGTGGGGTTACAGTAGTGTCTGGTGGTGTAAGTTACTGTGGGGTTACAGCAGTGTCTGGTGGTGTAAGTTACTGTGAGGTTGCAGCAGTATCTGGTGGTGTAAGGTACTGTGGGGTTACAGCAGTGTCTGGTGGTGTAAGTTACTGTGAGGTTACAACAGTGTCTGGGGGTATAAGTTACTGTGAGGTTATAATAGTGTCTGGTGGTGTAAGTTACTGTGGGGTTACAGCAGTGTCTGGTGGTGTAAGTTACTGTGGGGTTACAGCAGTGTCTGGTGTAAGTTACTGTGAGGTTACAGCAGTGTCTGGTGGTGTAAGTTACTGTGAGATTACAGCAGTGTCTGATGTAAGTAACTGTGAGGTTACAGCAGTGTCTGGTGGTGTAAGTTACTGTGAAGTTACAGCAGTGTCTGGTGTAAGTTACTGTGAGGTTACAGCAGTGTCTGGTGGTGTAAGTTACTGTGAGGTTACAACAGTATCTGAGTGTATAAGTTACTGTGAGATTACAGCAGTGTCTGGTGTAAGTTACTGTGAGATTACAGCAGTGTCTGGTGGTGTAAGTTACTGTGGGGGTTTCAACAGTGTCTGGTGTAAGTTACTCTGAAGTTACAGCAGTGTCTGGTGGTGTAAGTTACTGTGAAATTACAACATCTCCTTTCATTAATTGGTTGGTTAATGGGGTTTCAAGACTATCTACTACACGAGGGTCATTAAGGCTGCATGTCACCTGTACACCACCAGTCAAGAATACTTTAATACCTAAAATACTGATTAATGCAAAAATCTCAGTGTATATATACAGGATATATACACCTCTGTGTGTATATATCCTGTGGGTGTTGGTAGATAGTCAACAGCACTGAACGGTTACATGGAACAGCCGGATAAGTGGAGAAGTTTGCAGAGACCACAGCATCACGACATCACAGAGGTAGAGAAGGCTCTCAGAACCTCGTCTTGCAGAGACCACAGCATCACGACATCACAGAGTTAGACAAGGCTCTCAGAACCTCGTCTTGTAGACAGAACCTTATTCCAGGTTCCCCAGGGGCAAGTGTTCCTTTATCAGCTGTAGGTAAGCAATAAATATCGTCAAGGGTCTTTATTACTGACATATAATATATATGTGTAGAATCTAACAATTATACGGATGTAAGACAACTATACTGGCTTAGTTCTTATTTAAATTAAATGTTAGATATAAGTCGAGAGGTGACTAACACTCAGGTACCTATTTACTGCTAGGTGAAAAGGGACAACAGGTGTAAGGTGACTAATACCCAGGCACCTACACACACTGCTAGGTGAACAGGGACATCAGGTGTAAGGTGACTAATACCCAGGCACCTACACACACTGCTAGGTGAACAGGGACATCAGGTGTAAGGTGACTAATACCCAGGCACCTACACACACTGCTAGGTGAACAGGGACATCAGGTGTAAGGTGACTAATACCCAGGAACCTACACACACTGCTAGGTGAACAGGGACATCAGGTGTAAGGTGACTAATACCCAGGCACCTACACACACTGCTAGGTGAACAGGGACATCAGGTGTAAGGTGACTAATACCCAGGCACCTAACACACTGCTAGGTGAACAGGGACATCAGGTGTAAGGTGACTAATACCCAGGCACCTACACACACTGCTAGGTGAACAGGGATATCAGGTGTAAGGTGACTAACACCCAGGCACCTACACACACTGCTAGGTGAACAGGGACATCAGGTGTAAGGTGACTAATACCCAGGCACCTACACACACTGCTAGGTGAACAGGGACATCAGGTGTAAGGTGACTAATACCCAGGCACCTACACACACTGCTAGGTGAACAGGTACATCAGGTGTAAGGTGACTAATACCCAGGCACCTACACACACTGCTAGGTGAACAGGGACATCAGGTGTAAGGTGACTAATACCCAGGCACCTACACACACTGCTAGGTGAACAGGGACATCAGGTGTAAGGTGACTAATACCCAGGCACCTACACACACTGCTAGGTGAACAGGGACATCAGGTGTAAGGTGACTAACACCCAGGCACCTACACACACTGCTAGGTGAACAGGGACATCAGGTGTAAGGTGACTAACACCCAGGCACCTACACACACTGCTAGGTGAACAGGGACATCAGGTGTAAGGTGACTAACACCCAGGCACCTACACACACTGCTAGGTGAACAAGGACATCAGGTGTAAGGTGACTAACACCCAGGCACCTACACACACTGCTAGGTGAACAGGGACATCAGGTGTAAGGTGACTAACACCCAGGCACCTACACACACTGCTAGGTGAACAGGGACATCAGGTGTAAGGTGACTAATACCCAGGCACCTACACACACTGCTAGGTGAACAGGGACATCAGGTGTAAGGTGACTAACACCCAGGCACCTACACACACTGCTAGGTGAACAGGGACATCAGGTGTAAGGTGACTAACACCCAGGCACCTACACACACTGCTAGGTGAACAGGGACATCAGGTGTCAGGAGCTTGGCCAAAATTATTAACTACACCTACACACAAAATCTAAGACATTTAAACCCAATTAAAAATCGTAGAAAAAAATGGCCTCATTCCGAAGCCATTTTCCCCCACTTTCACAATGCATAACCTACCTCAGGTAGGAACCAAGCCTTTTAACATATAACAGATATCAAGTCAGCTTAAATCAGCTTAAATCTGAGTAAGCTGAAAGCAGAATGAATACCTCACAGTTATTCATACTGCTAGCTGAATATTTGTGAATAACTAATGAATGACTCGACACAGTCAGAAGTTATACACTGACTAACTTGTCTGTAAAAAGAGTAATTTTGGAGGCCCTTTCGTAGAAGATTGTACAGTGAGTTAGTCACTAAGTATATTCAACATATATTCCCTACAATATATATATATATATATATATATATATATATATATATATATATATATATATATATATATATATATATATATATATATATATATATATATATACATCTGCCTAAACTGTAACAGGCAGTAGACAGTACTAACAGGCAACAGAAAATTGCCTACCAGATAACAGAAAGTTAACTAACATGCAACAGAAATTTGTAGATACTAAGCGCTAACAAGAATGCGTTTAAATCTAAACAAAAGATTGTAAAACGTGCTGGTTATGAGGTACTGTAATTGCTAGTTTTACGTGTTCACTCGTAAGTAGAGAGTGCACTTGTTTCCTGAGTGGGATGGTTAGAGAGCTTATTCACTCAGATAAGGAGCTGCAGGTGTCTCTGAGTGAACAAGAAGGCTGGGGAAGAGTACATCTTCACTCACTCTAGAGTGTAAGTACTTCCCACTGGGTAGAAAGGTTAGAAACTACATATATCACTCGAGCAAGGTAGTGGAAGGGTCTCTGAGTGAGTGGGGTTGGGGGGTTGGGAGGTATTCTAATAGGCAGAGTGATGGCCAGACACCTTAATAAGCTTATCCCTGTAGAGTTTCTCTGATTCCCATCTTCTGATGGGGACTGTCTTGCCATTCCTGCGTAAACACACACGAAGATCCGCCTCGTCGAAGATAGTAACAGGGTCCAGTTTGTGTGTGTTGATCTTCTCCACTAAATACTCAGTGTAGTGGAGCCTGTAAATGAGAAATTGGGGAAGTTCCAACAGAACGAGAGATTCACAACTACTCATTACCTTTGCGAGTCTCCTGACGTAGTATATGTCAGACTCCCACGGTCGTCTCTTAGGGATATCCATGTGTTCGCGACGTAAAAGGTACCTTAAGTCTCCCTCGTCCATTAAGGGCAGTGGGTCTATATGATTTTTAAAACACAATCGACCCAAATAGTCAAGGTAGTGGTTTCTGTAAAGAAGGGAGCTGGTCTTAGAGATATCTTAAAGTTCCACATAGCAGTGAAAAAGAGAATCTCTAATTTGATTAGTGAAAGTTTGACGTATCACTTGCTTCAGCTAGTTTCAGGGAGCAATGGATAACAAAGTTACATCTAGAGGAGCTAAATTATCAAATGTTTCTCTTCTTTACAGAAGTCCACCTTAGATTTCGCAGTGTTTTTGGCCACTGAGGTAAAAATGTCGATTCTTGTCGTTCACTGTTGGTGGGTTAAGAGGATACGTAAGCAAACATTATTACAGATTTTAGAGATTTTTTTGGGGGTGGAGGACCTTGATTACTTGTAAATTACATGTGTCAAGAGTAACAGTATATACGTGTATTTTTTTCTAAGATCTCGGTAGTCTCCTGCCGAGGTTGAGTGATTCAAAGAAGAGGGAACACATTCACCGTCATTCGTTCGAACGCTGTCTCGCTAGTGACGTTTAGATATTACAGTTGATATGACCCTATGAACTGTAACATCCTCACTCATCTTTCAGAGTACAGGTACTGTACTTCCCACCTCCAGTACTGTAACATCCTCACTCATCCTTCAGAGTACAGGTACTGTACTTCCCACCTCCAGTACTGTAACATCCTCACTCATCCTTCAGAGTACAGGTACTGTACTTCCCACCTCCAGTACTGTAACATCCTCACTCATCCTTCAGAGTACAGGTACTGTACTTCCCACCTCCAGTACTGTAACATCCTCACTCATCCTGCAGAGTACAGGCACTGTACTTCCCCCCTCCAGGACTCACGTCCGGCTAACTGGTTTCCCTGAATACCTTCATAACTGTTACCTTACACTCCAACAGCACGTCAAATCACAAAAACAAATAGGTTAATGCACCCACACAAGCCCATGGATATTCAAGCCCTAGCATTTAAGACCTCCTTTACCTCCCCCCCCTCTAACATTTCGTGGGATGACCCACTACCCCTCCTTTCTTCCAACCAAAATTTATACTCACTCTTAATCATACTGTTCAATTTCTGCCTCTTAGAATGGCAAAACCACCTCAACAACCCCTCTACAGTCTTATGAATAATACTTTTGCTAACTCCATATCACCTTCTAGTCTTCAAAGTACGGATTGTCATACCACACATTGCCCTCAGACACGACATTTCCACTGCCTCCAGCCTTCTCCTTGTTACAACATTCACCACCCATGCTTCACACCCATATAAGAGCGTTGGTATGACTATACTCTCATACATTCCCCTCTTTGCTTCCATAGATAACATTCTTTGTCTCCACAGATTCCTCATTGAACCACTCACCTTTTTACCTCACCAATTCTATGGTTTATCTCGTCTCGACAAGTCCACTCCCAAATATCTGAACACATTCACTTCCTCCATACTCCCTTCCTCCAGTGTTATATACCCTCCTTCATTACCAAACTTTTTTTTGCTATCCACATTACCGTGCTCCTTCCTATATTCACCTTTAATTACCTTATTTTACGTAACTTTCCAAACTCGTCGACCAACTTCTGCAACTTCAATCAGAATCTCCCAAAAGCACAGTGTCATCAGCAAAAAGCAACTGTGACAAATCCCACACCTCTAGCCAACCCTAAACCGTTTACAAAATAAAGATACCCGAGTGTTGCATACATGTCTTATTCATCAGATGTATAAGGGAATATAGTCACAGAAGGGCAAATGAGAACAAATATATGGAAATATAAGGGTACATAAGGGTGTATAAGGGCAAATGGAGAGCATGTATGTGTAGATGGGGCATTCATAGGATACCAGGAGTCCTACCTGCAAAGTCCTGCGTATCCTGGAGGTACGATGCGTCCGCAGATGTCATCCTTGAGGCCGTCAGCAAGTTCCTTCTGCTCCTGGACCTGACATCCTGACCGGGCTCCTGCCTGGGGCTCCTTCCCACCGTGGGGCTCCGTGTCGAAGCTCACCCCGGCTTCCTGCAAGGAAGAGCAACAGTGAGAGGAGATCCTGCTGAGATGAGAGGAGAATTATAGCAGCTGCCAAGCGTCCTGAATGGTTGGAAGGGAATTATAGCAGCTGCCAAGCCTCCTGAATGGTTGGACGGGAATTATAGCAGCTGCCAAGCCTCCTGAATGGTTGGACGGGAATTATTGCAGCTGCCAAGCCTCCTGAATGGTTGGAAGCGAATTATAGCAGCTGCCAAACCTCCTGAATGGTTGGACGGGAATTATAGCAGCTGCCAAGGCTCCTGAATGGTTGGACGGGAATTATAGCAGCTGCCAAGCCTCCTGAATGGTTGGACGAGAATTATAGCAGCTGCCAAGCCTCCTGAATGGTTGGACGAGAATTATAGCAGCTGCCAAGCCTCCTGAATGGTTGGACGGGAATTATAGCAGCTGCCAAGCCTCCTGATTGGTTGGACGAGAATTATAGCAGCTGCCAAGCCATCTAAAGATCGGGAAAGCCTTCATAGAGGATGAGAGGCATCCTAGAGGGCAGGTCATGATCAAGACCTTGGTTACAGCACGAGTCATGGTTCTTGAAGGAGTAAACAGTTACTGGGGAAGGCTGGGGTTCATTACATTGGTCTTTGCTGGGGGTTAGGTACATTAATTTAAGAAGGTTTTAGCTGGGGTTGGAGTACATTAAGAAGGTTTTAGCTGGGGTTGGAGTACATTAAGAAGATTTTAGCTGGGGTTGGAGTACATTAAGAAGGTTTTAGCTGGGGTTGGAGTACATTAAGAAGGTTTTAGCTGGGGTTGGAGTACATTAAGAAGGTTTTAGCTGGGGTTGGAGTACATTAAGAAGGTTTTAGCTGGGGTTGGAGTACATTAAGAAGGTTTTAGCTGGGGTTGGAGTACATTAAGCAGGTTTTAGCTGGGGTTGGAGTACATTAAGAAGGTTTTAGCTGGGGTGGAGTACATTAAGAAGGTTTTAGCTGGGGTTGGAGTACATTAAGAGGTTTTAGCTGGGGTTGGAGTACATTAAGAAGGTTTTAGCTGGGGTTGGAGTACATTAAGAAGGTTTTAGCTGGGGTTGGAGTACATTAAGAAGGTTTTAGCTGGGGTTGGAGTACATTAAGAAGGTTTTAGCTGGGGTTGGAGTACATTAAGAAGGTTTTAGCTGGGGTTGGAGTACATTAAGAAGGTTTTAGCTGGGGTTGGAGTACATTAAGAAGGTTTTAGCTGGGGTTGGAGTACATTAAGAGGTTTTTAGCTGGGGTTGGAGTACATTAAGAAGGTTTTAGCTGGGGTTGGAGGTACATTAAGAAGGTTTTAGCTGGGGTTGGAGTACATTAAGGTTTTAGCTGGGGTTGGAGTACATTAAGAAGGTTTTAGCTGGGGTTGGAGTACATTAAGAAGGTTTTAGCTGGGGTTGGAGTACATTAAGAAGGTTTTAGCTGGGGTTGGAGTACATTAAGAAGGTTTTAGCTGGGGTTGGAGTACATTAAGGTTTTAGCTGGGGTTGGAGTACATTAAGAAGGTTTTAGCTGGGGTTGGAGTACATTAAGAAGGTTTTAGCTGGGGTTGGAGTACATTAAGAAGGTTTTAGCTGGGGTTGGAGTACATTAAGAAGGTTTTAGCTGGGGTTGGAGTACATTAAGAAGGTTTTAGCTGGGGTTGGAGTACATTAAGAAGGTTTTTAGCTGGGGTTGGAGTACATTAAGAAGGTTTTAGCTGGGGTTGGAGTACATTAAGAAGGTTTTAGCTGGGGTTGGAGTACATTAAGAAGGTTTTAGCTGGGGTTGGAGTACATTAAGAAGGTTTTAGCTGGGGTTGGAGTACATTAAGAAGGTTTTAGCTGGGGTTGGAGTACATTAAGAAGGTTTTAGCTGGGGTTGGAGTACATTAAGAAGGTTTTAGCTGGGGTTGGAGTACATTAAGAAGGTTTTAGCTGGGGTTGGAGTACATTAAGAAGGTTTTAGCTGGGGTTGGAGTACATTAAGAAGGTTTTAGCTGGGGTTGGAGTACATTAAGAAGGTTTTAGCTGGGGTTGGAGTACATTAAGGTTTTAGCTGGGGTTGGAGTACATTAAGAAGGTTTTAGCTGGGGTTGGAGTACATTAAGAAGGTTTTAGCTGGGGTTAGAGTACATTAAGAAGGTTTTAGCTGGGGTTGGAGTACATTAAGAAGGTTTTAGCTGGGGTTGGAGTACATTAAGAAGGTTTTAGCTGGGGTTGGAGTACCTTTAGGAGATTTTGAAGCTGCTGGGGCTCCTTGTCACGCAGATAGAAGAGGCAGTTCCTGGGGTGGTGAGCGTGGAGCCCCAGACGAGCACAGTATGGTCCAACCCAACACCTGCAAGGAACGAACACCTGTCAACACCTGTCTACACCTGCAACACCTGTTCTCACATCATCCACCATACACATGCACGGGGATATATACAGGATGTTAGACACATGTGGCAACGTTTCGCCCCATACTGGCTTCATCAGTCCAATACATAGAAGAATGGTGAAGATCAGAAGGAGTTTGAGGTAATCGGTCCCACAATATGTCCTTGTATTGCAATGATAAAGCCACTGGATGGGCGAAACGTCTACAGATAAAGATACCCAGATGTTGCACACGTGTCATGAGTATGTGTCTGTGGGTACTGTGGGTGTTATAGGTACTCAGACATGTGGGTTCTTCAGGTAGTGAGGGTATTATGGGTACTGTGGGTACCTCAGGTTTTGTGGATAATATGGGTACTGTGGGGACTGAAACATGTGGGTATCTCAAGTACTGTGGGTATTATGGGTACTATGGTACTCAGGTACAGTATGTACTCAAACAGGAGAGTACTTACTTGCCACCCTGACGGAAGGGCTTACTACACCCGGAGCAGAACTCGTGCTTGCATTGAGTGCACGTAAAGTGCATACATCCTCCCTTAGCCAAGGCGTACGTAAACCTGTACGGGTTATAAATGGTCATTAGTGCCATTAAGGTACATAATTAAGACTTGCGCTAATGAGGGTATTTAATAACACTGCACTGAAATGTTTTAGACTGTATCGTAAGGTACGTTAGGTACGTACATTATGACAGGCTACTTAGGTATATATATCACGACAGTTTAATTTTAATGATGGAAATACGTATATATATACGCATATATATAAGGTATATACGGGACATGACGCCATACTTACTTGCACTTAGGGCAAGTGATGCCACACTCTGCTAGGTGCCGAGCCACACCCTGGGCAGCCACCTCCACGTCGTTGTCAGCCTTCCACTGGGCAAAAGCCTCGCAGGAGATGCCCTCATGGGCACTCTCCCACTAATACCCACAGCAACAGCAATAGCAATGACAAACACAAGATTAAAGTCGAATGACCGTCCCACAGTAATAACAAATAATAACAAACACAGGATTAGAGTTGAATGACCGTCTCGCAGCAATAGCAAATAATAACAAACACAGGATTAGAGTTGAATGACCGTCTCGCAGCAATAACAAATAATAACAAACACAGGATTAGAGTTGAATGACCGTCTCGCAGCAATAGCAAATAATAACAAACACAGGATTAGAGTTGAATGACCGTCTCGCAGCAATAGCAAATAATAACACACACAGGATTAGAGTCGTATGACCGTCTTGAAGCAATAACAAATAATAACAAACGCAGGATTAGAGTCATATGTCCGTCTCGCAGCAATAACAAATAATAACAAACACATGATTAGAGTCGTATGACTGTCTTGCAGCAATAACAAATAATAACAAACACAGGATTAGAGTCGTATGACCGTCTTGCAGAAATAATAAATAATAACAAACGCAGGATTAGAGTCATATGTCCGTCTCACAGCAATAACAAATAATAACAAACACAGGATTAGAGTTGAATGACCGTCTTGCAGCAATAACAAATAATAATAAACACAGCATTAGAGACGTATGTCCGTCCCGCAGTAATAACAAGTAATAACAAACACAGGATTAGAGTTGTAGTCAAGAAGAAACGTACGTTGTTTGAGGAGCTTTCATTGTGACAACGTTTCACCCTGTGTAGAGCTTCAACAAGTGATGTTTCACTCTAGGCAGAGTTTTATTGAGTGATGTTTCGCTCTGCATAGAGCTTCAAGTGAGGTTTCGCTCTGGGTAGAGCTCTATCGTGACTCAACAAAGGTCTACACTGAGCGAAACGTCGACCAATCAAAAGTTCCTTCTTCAACCTACGTTTATCTTCATAAATAAATTTACCTAAAAAAAAAAATAATTTTTTTCGCATATATTCCAAATTTTTTTTCAATGTATATATATATATATATATATATATTATATATATATATATATTATATATATATATATATATATATATTATATATATATATATATATATATATATATATATATATATATATATATATATATTATGTATATATATATATATATATATATATATATATATATATATATATATATATATTATATATATATATATTTTTTTTCATGGAGGGCAGCTTCGAATCCTCGGATCAAGAGCTCTCCAGGGTGGGTACTCACGGGGGCGCGGCAGTGGGCGCAGGTGACGTCGGAACAGTCCGGACAAATCAACTTCCGGGCGCGTGGATTGGCGATAAACCCGGATGAGCACTGTGTGGGTTAGTAGGTGGCTTTATGTGGGGTTACTATAGCCCTGCCAGGGTTTAATAACCCAGCCCAGGGGTTAATAACCCACCCCTAGGGGCTAATAACCCACTTCTAGGGGTTAATAACCCACCCTCAGGGGTTAATAACCCACCCTCAGGGGTTAATAACCCACCCTCAGGGGTTAATAACCCACCCTCAGGGGTTAATAACCCACCCCTGGGGTTATTAATCCATCCCAGTGATTAATAACCCACCCCAGGGGTAAATAACCCACCCCCAGGGTTAATAATAACTTAGCATATAAATCACTGAACTTAGCATACAAATCACAAGCATTAGAATTTAAATTATAGCAACATATAAATCTAAATATTTATACTTGGTCGAATTATTTTTGTGGATTATTATTATTATTATTATTATTATTATTATTATTATTATTATTATTATTATTATTATTATGATTATATTCATTTAACACAAGGAAAATTGTATATAATCAAAATTGATCCAAGGATGAGGAGCGTAGCTCCACTGCCATGGATCACAAGCCCCTGTCTAACACCTAGACACTATTATTTAAATAACAGCCTCCCATGTAGAGTGTAGACTGACCTTATTACACCAGCGGAAATTGGGATCCTTGCCTAGCGTCCAGTCCCTCAGTTTCCTCTGGAAAAGTTCATGGGTCTCTGGTTCCAGGATATTCTTCAGAAGGATATCCATATTATTGAGATATTCATTGGCTATCTCCTGGAATAGAGGCACGAGATCACGGTATATATGAGGGGCGTTACAAGCAAATCATACATCTAAAGAAACAACACTGGCCATAACTACGTATATATACGTCAGAGACAGTGAGAGTTAAGACATATGGGTTTACAGTAGCCATGTAACTGGCCTGGATTGTAATGGCTACTGAGACGATGTCTCCAAGAAATAAGTACGAGATATACTTATTTCTTGTGATGTACCATCTCAGCCAGTGGCAGGGTAGTACATACAAGAGGTAATGATGGTAGAATTACCGATATAATGTTAGTAAATGGACACAGATATAAGGAATGTGATATTTTATTGTGGCAACGTTTGGCTCTCCAGGAGGTTTGTCCACCTTTAATGGCTTATGTTAGTTAACTGTGTGTACACAAAATGAGTCCCACATACAAAATATTGGCGTTTTCTTCTCTCTTAGGTGGGTTAACAGTGTGTGTTATCCACTGGATAACATGGTTATCCAGTGTTTCTTTTAGTCCACCTGACAGGACTTCAGTGTTTTGCTTCTCTGAGAAACGACCAGGAGGGTCGTCAGGAACCTCTTTGTGCTCTCCCACTGAATAGAACTTTATCATATTTCGTATCTAACAACCCCTCCAACCCCACCCACCTCGTTAGCATCTAGGTCAGGTTCGTTGCAGAAGGGACAGCGAACTTCCCGGATGTTCTTCGTCTTGATCTGGAAGGTGAAATAGGTCTTTGCGCACTCGCAACAACATCGGTGTGTACACTGCAGCATTGACACCATCTGTAACGAGACAGATGGTCAGGACAGCATATGTGTGTGTGTGTATGAACTGACCAGGGTTCTGTGACTCGAACCATGGTCACTTTATGTGCCAGGCCCAATGCTCTACCGTTCACCTATATTCACCTATCTATCCATCTAGCTCACTATCTATCTACCATACGCATGTGATCAAACAGTGAGACACACAACACTCTACCTTCCTCATTGGATATTTCTCAGCACACAGTTCACACTCCTGCTGGAGGAACTGGATGGCTGTATAGATTGAGGAACATTCTTCGGCCGCCTGCAAGGAGTCACTCTCGTTGAACTTGAAGTTGAGAAGTTGAGCTGCTAATTCGGCTTTCTCGTAGCTCCCCGCTCGTCCCTCCGCCAGGAGCCGTCGTACCGTCCGCTGTCAGAAAGGACACAGCCGGGTTAAGTAAGTTTATTTGGGTACAGGTATACATAAGTACGATTATCATACATAGTGTATTACCTAGGGTAACCCCCTTAAAACGTCAGACAGGGTGATTCCCATTGTGGTCCTTGAAGCATTTGACGTCTGGTAGCTCATGGGAGCTATGAGGAGGGACGTTGAGTTCACGATGTTTCGCTCACGGTGGGGCTTAATTTGTAAAACGGAGACTTGGAAACCTTCACCGGAAACCTTCCTGCTTGGAGATCAAGTGTTTTCAGGTCAACACTTGGAGACACTTGGTCTCCAAGCGAAGCAAGGTCCTTTTATCTACATGGAAATCGAGTGCCACATAAAACTATGTAGAGACACGAGATAGTTTGTAGTTCCAGTGTCTCCTGCCTAGGAACCTTAAATTATGGTGAAAGGAGTTGAAGGCCATTAAAACTGAAAAAACCCTGTTGCTCACAGGTGTCCCGGAGCTGGGTTGGTAGCGCACTCAGCTCACACACTGAGCTCCCTGGCTCGATTCCCGGTACGGGAGGAAACATTTGGACGTGTTTCCTTAAGACACCTGCTGTCCATGTTCACCTAGCAGTAAAATAGGTACCTGGGTGTTAGTGGACTGGTGTGGGTCGTATCCTGGGGGCAAAATTGACCTAATTTGCCGGAAATGCTCTGCATAACAGGTGGCAGGCAAAGACAGATTTGGTAATAATAACAAAATTACCGACACATTGTCAGATATATGGACACAGATGTAACTAATGTCACATTTTATTGTGGCAACGTTTCGCTTTCCAGGAGCATTGTCAAATCTTCCGGAGAGCGAAATGTTGCCGCAATAAGATGTCACATTAGTTGCACCTGCATCCAGTTACCTAACAAAGACAGGTACGGCAAAAACCTTGGTAACAAATACCGACAAACTGGTTTAGAAAGTGTTGGGCCATGTGTTTTTCTAAACCAAAAATAGATTTCAATGGTATAACGTTTCGTTCAGTGTAGAGTTTTTTCGTTCAAGAGTTGTATTCTCCGTTAGGGAAGAGCGAAAGAGACTCTAACAGAAGCAACAGTTCTGTCAACAGTTAAAATAGTGACCTGTTAGTGACCCGACGTCCCCTCAGGTAGTGACCTGACATCCCTTTCCATCAACTTACATCAAATTGCAGTTGCTCGTACTCCCTGCTGACTGGCTTGTCCTGTTGCTCGTGCAGCGCTTGCAATCCAGGAGGCGACGGCTCCTCCTCCTCCTTCGGAACCTCAGGGGAGTCGCCTCTGTCGTTCTCGTTCTCCATGCGAGCCTCGAGTTGCCTCTTCATCATCTGGATCTGTTCCTTCAGTTCCCGCATCTCCTGGTAGTCAGGGTCCTTCTTGTTCTGCCGCGCCTTCAGACCTTCAATCTACGGATACCAAGACATGTTTGGAGACTTGCTGAAGGCCAGACCTTCAATCTACGGATACCAAGACATGTTTGGAGACTTGTTGAAGGCCAGACCTTCAATCTACGGATACCAAGACATGTTTGGAGACTAGCTAAAGGTCAGACCTTCAATCTACGGATACCAAGACATGTTTGGAGACTAGGTGAAGGCCAGACCTTCAACCTACGGATACCAAGACATGTCTGGAGACTTGCTGAAGGCCAGACCTTCAATCTACGGATACCAAGACATGTTTGGAGACTAGCTAAAGGTCAGACCTTCAATCTACGAATACCAAGACATGTTTGGAGACTAGGTGAAGGCCAGACCTTCAATCTACGAATACCAAGACATGTTTGGAGACTTGCTGAAGGCCAGACTTTCAATCTACGGATACCAAGACATGTTTGGAGACTAGCTAAAGGTCAGACCTTCAATCTACGGATACCAAGACATGTTTGGAGACTAGCTAAAGGTCAGACCTTCAATCTACGGATACCAAGACATGTTTGGAGACTAGCTAAAGGTCAGACCTTCAATCTACGGATACCAAGACATGTTTGGAGACTAGGTGAAGGCCAGACCTTCAACCTACGGATACCAAGACATGTCTGGAGACTTGCTGAAGGCCAGACCTTCAATCTACGGATACCAAGACATGTTTGGAGACTAGCTAAAGGTCAGACCTTCAATCTACGGATACCAAGACATGTTTGGAGACTAGGTGAAGGCCAGACCTTCAACCTACGGATACCAAGACATGTCTGGAGACTTGCTGAAGGCCAGACCTTCAATCTACGGATACCAAGACATGTTTGGAGACTAGGTGAAGGCCAGACCTTCAATCTACGGATACCAAGACATGTTTGGAGACTTGCTAAAGGGCCAGACCTTCAATCTATGGATACCAAGACATGTTTGGAGACTTGCTGAAGGCCAGACCTTCAATCTACGGATACCAAGACATGTTTGGAGACTAGCTAAAGGTCAGACCTTCAATCTACGGATACCAAGACATGTTTGGAGACTAGGTGAAGGCCAGACCTTCAACCTACGGATACCAAGACATGTCTGGAGACTTGCTGAAGGCCAGACCTTCAATCTACGGATACCAAGACATGTTTGGAGACTAGGTGAAGGCCAGACCTTCAATCTACGGTTACCAAGACATGTTTGGAGACTTGCTGAAGGCCAGACCTTCAATCATGGATACCAAGACATGTTTGGAGACTAGCTAAAGGTCAGACCTTCAATCTACGGATACCAAGACATGTCTGGAGACTTGCTGAAGGCCAGACCTTCAATCTACGGATACCAAGACATGTTTGGAGACTAGGTGAAGGCCAGACCTTTAATCTACGGATACCAAGACATGTTTGGAGACTTGCTGAAGGCCAGACCTTCAATCTATGGATACCAGACATGTTTGGAGACTAGCTAAAGGTCAGACCTTCAATCACGGATACCAAGACATGTCTGGAGACTTGCTGAAGGCCAGACCTTCAATCTAGGATACCAAGACATGTTGGAGACTAGGTGAAGGCCAGACCTTCAATCTACGGATACCAAGATATGTTTGGAGACTTGCTGAAGGCCAGACCTTCAATCTATGGATACCAAGACATGTTTGGAGACTAGCTAAAGGTCAGACCTTCAATCTACGGATACCAAGACATGTCTGGAGACTTGCTGAAGGCCAGACCTTCAATCTACGGATACCAAGACATGTTTGGAGACTAGGTGAAGGCCAGACCTTCAATCTACGGATACCAAGACATGTTTGGAGACTTGCTGAAGGCCAGACCTTCAATTCACGATACCAATACATGTTTGGAGACTAGCTAAAGGTCAGACCTTCAATCTACGGATACCAAGACATGTTTGGAGACTTGCTGAAGCCAGACCTTCAATCTACGGATACCAAGACATGTTTGGAGACTTGCTGAAGGCTAGACTTTCAATCTACGGATACCAAGACATGTTTGGAGACTAGCTAAAGGTCAGACCTTCAATCTACGGATACCAAGACATGTTTGGAGACTAGCTAAAGGTCAGACCTTCAATCTACGGATACCAAGACATGTTTGGAGACTAGGTGAAGGCCAGACCTTCAATCTACGGATACCAAGACATGTCTGGAGACTTGCTGAAGGCCAGACCTTCAATCTACGGATACCAAGACATGTCTGGAGACTTGCTGAAGGCCAGACCTTCAATCTACGGATACCAAGGCATGTTTGGAGACTAGGTGAAGGCCAGACCTTCAATCTACGGATACCAAGACATGTTTGGAGACTTGCTGAAGGCCAGACCTTCAATCTACGGATACCAAGACATGTTTGGAGACTTGCTGAAGGCCAGACCTTCAATCTACGGATACCAAGACATGTTTGGAGACTTGCTGAAGGCCAGACCTTCAATCTACGGATACCAAGACATGTTTGGAGACTAGGTGAAGGCCAGACCTTCAATCTACGGATACCAAGACATGTTTGGAGACTAGGTGAAGGCCAGACCTTCAATCTACGGATACCAAGACATGTTTGGAGACTTGCTGAAGGCCAGACCTTCAATCTACGGATACCAAGACATGTTCGGAGACTTGTTGAAGGCCAGACCTTCAATCTACGGATACCAAGACATGTTTGGAGACTTGCTGAAGGCCAGACCTTCAATCTACGGATACCAAGACATGTTTGGAGACTTGCTGAAGGCCAGACCTTCAATCTACGGATACCAAGACATGTTTGGAGACTTGCTGAAGGCCAGACCTTCAATCTACGGATACCAAGACATGTTTGGAGACTTGCTGAAGGCCAGACCTTCAATCTACGGATACCAAGACATGTTTGGAGACTTGCTGAAGGCCAGACTTTCAATCTACGGATACCAAGACATGTTTGGAGACTAGGTGAAGACCACACCTTCAATCTAAGGATAAGAATTATTTTAACAGCAATTCAACGGCTGTTAACGGTTAGAACTGCAAACATTCTTCTGTTTCTCTGGTAAAACTTGACCATCTTCAACTCTCCTGTGATAATATTCAATTTGATGCAACTCTAAATGCCCCGTGGGTCATTATTAACAGTGAAGGCTCTATCCTCCGTCTACTAATCACGGACCAGATACGTTACCACTGTGAAGACTCTCCAGGAATATATATATGTATATATATATATATATATATAATATATATATATATATATTATATATATATATATATATATATATATATATATATACTTTTTTATTTTTTTTTTTATTATCACACCGGCCGATTCCCACCAAGGCAGGGTGGCCCGAAAAAGAAAAACTTTCACCATCATTCACTCCATCACTGTCTTGCCAGAAGGGTGCTTTACACTACAGTTTTTAAACTGCAACATTAACACCCCTCCTTCAGAGTGCAGGCACTGTACTTCCCATCTCCAGGACTCAAGTCCGGCCTGCCGGTTTCCCTGAATCCCTTCATAAATGTTACTTTGCTCACACTCCAACAGCACGTCAAGTATTAAAAACCATTTGTCTCCATTCACTCCTATCAAACACGCTCACGCATGCCTGCTGGAAGTCCAAGCCCCTCGCACACAAAACCTCCTTTACCCCCTCCCTCCAACCCTTCCTAGGCCGACCCCTACCCCGCCTTCCTTCCACTACAGACTGATACACTCTTGAAGTCATTCTGTTTCGCTCCATTCTCTCTACATGTCCGAACCACCTCAACAACCCTTCCTCAGCCCTCTGGACAACAGTTTTGGTAATCCCGCACCTCCTCCTAACTTCCAAACTACGAATTCTCTGCATTATATTCACACCACACATTGCCCTCAGACATGACATCTCCACTGCCTCCAGCCTTCTCCTCGCTGCAACATTCATCACCCATGCTTCACACCCATATAAGAGCGTTGGTAAAACTATACTCTCATACATTCCCCTCTTTGCCTCCAAGGACAAAGTTCTTTGTCTCCACAGACTCCTAAGTGCACCACTCACTCTTTTTCCCTCATCAATTCTATGATTCACCTCATCTTTCATAGACCCATCCGCTGACACGTCCACTCCCAAATATCTGAATACGTTCACCTCCTCCATACTCTCTCCCTCCAATCTGATATTCAATCTTTCATCACCTAATCTTTTGTTATCCTCATAACCTTACTCTTTCCTGTATTCACCTTTAATTTTCTTCTTTTGCACACCCTACCAAATTCATCCACCAATCTCTGCAACTTCTCTTCAGAATCTCCCAAGAGCACAGTGTCATCAGCAAAGAGCAGCTGTGACAACTCCCACTTTGTGTGATTCTTTATCTTTTAACTCCACGCCTCTTGCCAAGACCCTCGCATTTACTTCTCTTACAACCCCATCTATAAATATATTAAACAACCACGGTGACATCACACATCCTTGTCTAAGGCCTACTTTTACTGGGAAAAAATTTCCCTCTTTCCTACATACTCTAACTTGAGCCTCACTATCCTCGTAAAAACTCTTCACTGCTTTCAGTAACCTACCTCCTACACCATACACTTGCAACATCTGCCACATTGCCCCCCTATCCACCCTGTCATACGCCTTTTCCAAATCCATAAATGCCACAAAGACCTCTTTAGCCTTATCTAAATACTGTTCACTTATATGTTTCACTGTAAACACCTGGTCCACACACCCCCTACCTTTCCTAAAGCCTCCTTGTTCATCTGCTATCCTATTCTCCGTCTTACTCTTAATTCTTTCAATTATAACCCTACCATACACTTTACCAGGTACACTCAACAGACTTATCCCCCTCTAATTTTTGCACTCTCTTTTATCCCCTTTGCCTTTATACAAAGGAACTATGCATGCTCTCTGCCAATCACTAGGTACCTTACCCTCTTCCATACATTTATTAAATAATTGCACCAACCACTCCAAAACTATATCCCCACCTGCTTTTAACATTTCTATCTTTATCCCATCAATCCCGGCTGCCTTACCCCCTTTCATTTTACCTACTACCTCACGAACTTCCCCCACACTCACAACTGGCTCTTCCTCACTCCTACAAGATGTTATTCCTCCTTGCCCTATACACGAAATCACAGCTTCCTATCTTCATCAACATTTAACAATTCCTCAAAATATTCCTTCCATCTTCCCAATACCTCTAACTCTCCATTTAATAACTCTCCTCTCCTATTTTTAACTGACAAATCCATTTGTTCTCTAGGCTTTCTTAACTTGTTAATCTCACTCCAAAACTTTTTCTTATTTTCAACAAAATTTGTTGATAACATCTCACCCACTCTCTCATTTGCTCTCTTTTTACATTGCTTCACCACTCTCTTAACTTCTCTCTTTTCTCCATATACTCTTCCCTCCTTGCATCACTTCTACTTTGTAAAAACTTCTCATATGCTAACTTTTTCTCCCTTACTACTCTCTTTACATCATCATTCCACCAATCGCTCCTCTTCCCTCCTGCACCCACTTTCCTGTAACCACAAACTTCTGCTGAACACTCTAACACTACATTTTTAAACCTACCCCATACCTCTTCGACCCCATTGCCTATGCTCTCATTAGCCCATCTATCCTCCAATAGCTGTTTATATCTTACCCTAACTGCCTCCTCTTTTAGTTTATAAACCTTCACCTCTCTCTTCCCTGATGCTTCTATTCTCCTTGTATCCCATCTTACCTTTTACTCTCAGTGTAGCTACAACTAGAAAGTGATCTGATATATCTGTGGCCCCTCTATAAACATGTACATCCTGAAGTCTACTCAACAGACTTTTATCTACCAATACATAATCCAACAAACTACTGTCATTTCGCCCTACATCATATCGTGTATACTTATTTATCCTCTTTTCTTAAAATATGTATTACCTATAACTAAACCCCTTTCTATACAAAGTTCAATCAAAGGGCTCCCATTATCATTTACACCTGGCACCCCAAACTTACCTACCACACCCTCTCTAAAAGTTTCTCCTACTTTAGCATTCAAGTCCCCTACCACAATTACTCTCTCACTTGGTTCAAAGGCTCCTATACATTCACTTAACATCTCCCAAAATCTCTCTCTCTCCTCTGCATTCCTCTCTTCTCCAGGTGCATACACGCTTATTATGACCCACTTCTCGCATCCAACCTTTACTTTAATCCACATAATTCTTGAATTTACACATTCATATTCTCTTTTCTCCTTCCATAACTGATCATTTAACATTACTGCTACCCTTCCTTTGCTCTAACTCTCTCAGATACTCCAGATTTAATCCCATTTATTTCCCCCACTGAAACTCTCCTACCCCCTTCAGCTTTGTTTCGCTTAGGGCCAGGACATCCAACTTCTTTTCATTCATAACATCAGCAATCATCTGTTTCTTGTCATCCGCACTACATCCACGCACATTTAAGCAACCCAGTTTTATAAAGTTTTTCTTCTTCTCTTTTTTAGTAATTGTATACAGGAGAAGGGGTTACTAGCCCATTGCTCCCGGCATTTTAGTCGCCTCATACGACACGCATGGCTTACGGAGGAAAGATTCTTTTCCACTTCCCCATGGACAATAGAAGAAATAAAAAAGAACAAGAGCTATTTAGAAAAAGGAGAAAAACCTAGATGTATGTATATATATATATGCATGTGCTTGTCTGTGAAGTGTGACCAAAGTGTAAGTAGGAGTAGCAAGATATCCCTGTTATCTTAGCGTGTTTATGAGACAGAAAAAGAAACCAGCAATCCTACCATCATGCAAAACAGTTACAGGTTTTTGTTTCACAGTCATCTGGCAGGACGGTAGTACTACCCTGGGTGGTTGCTGTCTACCAACCTACTACCTAATATATATACTAATATATATATATATATATATATATAATATATATTATATATATATATATATATATATATATATATATATATAATATATAATATATATATATAATATATATACTAATATATAATATATATACATATATATATTATTATTATTATTATTATTGTTATTATTATTATTATTATTATTATTATTATTATTATTATTATTATTATTATTATTATTATTATTATTATTGTTATTATTATTATTATTATTATTATTAATATTATCATCATTATTATTCACTATTCAACACAAGATAATGTAAAATATGGAAACAAATAAAGATAACGAGAGAAAATAAAGATACTCAGGGTCGTATTTGCAACTTAAAGATAGCTCGCGAAATTTAAATATAACTCACGAAACATAAAACAGAATAATTTTAATAATGTGGGAAAAAGGAGGTTAATGGTAGATAATTTTGTAATGGATTATAGGCTTATGTTTAATACTTAATATTACGTATGAGGCACCAGGAAGACACTGCCTCTAGTTAGGCCTACACTGGTGTGTTGAGGCTTACACTGGTGTGTTGAGGACTACACTGGTGTGTTGAGGCCTACACTGGTGTATTGAGGCCTACACTGGTGTGTTGAGGACTACACTGGTGTGTTGAGGCCTACACTGGTGTGTTGAGGCCTACACTGGTGTGTTGAGGCCTACACTGGTGTGTTGAGGCCTACACTGGTGTGTTGAGGCCTACACTGGTGTGTTGAGGCCTACACTGGTGTGTTGAGGCTTACACTGGTGTGTTGAGGACTACACTGGTGTGTTGAGGCCTACACTGGTGTGTTGAGGCCTACACTGGTGTGTTGAGGACTACACTGGTGTGTTGAGGCCTACACTGGTGTGTTGAGGCCTACACTGGTGTGTTGAGGCCTACACTGGTGTGTTGAGGCCTACACTGGTGTGTTGAGGCCTACACTGGTGTGTTGAGGCCTACACTGGTGTGTTGAGGCCTACACTGGTGTGTTGAGGCCTACACTGGTGTGTTGAGGCCTACACTGGTGTGTTGAGGCCTACACTGGTGTGTTGAGGCCTACACTGGTGTGTTGAGGCCTACACTGGTGTGTTGAGGCTTACACTGGTGTGTTGAGGCCTACACTGGTGTGTTGAGGCCTAGTGTGTTGAGGCCTACAATGGTGTGTTGAGGCCTACACTGGTGTGTTGAGGCCTACATTAGTGTGTTGAGGCCTACACTAGTGTGTTGAGGCCTACACTGGTGTGTTGAGGCCTACACTGGTGTGTTGAGGCCTACACTGGTGTGTTGAGGCCTACACTAGTGTGTTGAGGCTTACACTGGTGTGTTGAGGCCTACACTAGTGTGTTGAGGCCTTCACTGGTGTGTTGAGGCCTTCACTGGTGTGTTGAGGCCTACACTGGTGTGTTGAGGCCTACACTGGTGTGTTGAGGCCTACACTGGTGTGTTGAGGCCTACACTAGTGTGTTGAGGCCTACACTGGTGTGTTGAGGCCTACACTGGTGTATTGAGGCTTATACTGGTGTGTTGAGGCCTACACTGGTGTGTTGAGGCCTACACTGGTGTGTTGAGGCCTACACTGGTGTGTTGAGGCCTACACTGGTGTGTTGAGGCCTACTCTGGTGTGTTGAGGCCTACACTGGTGTGTTGAGGCCTACACTGGTGTGTTGAGGCCTACACTGGTGTGTTGAGGCCTACACTGGTGTGTTGAGGCCTACACTGGTGTGTTGAGGACTACACTGGTGTGTTGAGGCCTACACTGGTGTGTTGAGGCCTACACTGGTGTGTTGAGGCTTACACTGGTGTGTTGAGGCCTACACTGGTGTGTTGAGGCCTACACTGGTGTGTTGAGGCCTACACTGGTGTGTTGAGGCCTACACTGGTGTATGTGTATATACTGTGTGGTGTGTCAGTGTATATACACTGAGAGGTATATCTCAGTGTATATACACTGAGAGGTGTATATCTCAGTGTATATACACTGGTAGTTTACATTAATCAGTATTTTAGGTATTAAAGTATTCTTGACTGGTGGTGTACAGGTGACATGTAGCCTTAATGACCCTCGTGTAGTAGATAGTCTTGAATCCCCATTAACCAACCAACCAGCCTTAATGACCCTTGTGTAGTAGATAGCCTTGAAACCCCGTTAACCAACCAACCAGCCTTAATAACCCTCGTGTAGTAGATAGTCTTGAAACCCCATTAACCAACCAACCAGCCTTAATGACCCTCGTGTAGTAGATAGTCTTGAAACCCCATTAACCAACCAACCAGTCTTAATGACCCTCGTGTAGTAGATAGTCTTGAAACCCCATTAACCAACCAACCAGTCTTATTAATGATCCTCGTGTAGTAGATGGTCTTGAAACCCCATTAACCAACCAACCAGCCTTAATGACCCTCGTGTAGTAGATAGTCTTGAAACCCCATTAACCAACCAACCAGTCTTATTAATGACCCTCGTGTAGTAGATAGTCTTGAAACCCCATTAACCAACCAACCAGCCTTAATCACCCTCATGTAGTAGATAGACTTGAAACCCCATTAACCAACCATCCAGCCTTAATGACCCTCGTGTAGTAGATAGTCTTGAAACCCCATTAACCAACCAACCAGCCCTAATGACCCTCGTGTAGTAGATAGACTTGAAACCCCATTAACCAACCAACCAGCCTTAATGACCCTCGTGTAGTAGACAGACTTGTAACCCCATTAACCAACCAACCAGCGTTATTGGATGGGCTCCCACAATCACCGGATCTAAATATTATGGAGCATCTGTTGGGGGTCAGCTGGAACAGCAAGTCAGGAACTGATTTCCTCCACCGCCGTCTCTGGAAAAGTTAAGAGCAGTGTTTTGCTGGAGGAATAGCGCAAAATCCCCCTGTATACTGTTCAGATGCTAAATAAATCAATTCCTCGATGAATTGGTGCTGTTTAAGCTGCAGGTGGAAGGCCAACTCCATATCATATTGTCCAACCCGTCAGTTGTTGATGCGTGTAGAAGAGGGACATATTGGTGCCCCGGTGTGTTAGTCAGGGAGGGTCGTAGGGAGGTTGAAGAAGCGTTAATGGCGAGTTACCTGTACCAAGAGATGTGGGATCTTTGGCAGATCCTCCACGCTCACCCTGTGAACTTTTCCCCCTGTATCTTCGTCTTCAGAGTCCCCAGAGGACTCCGAAGGATTCCTGGGCTTCCTCGCCGACGCTGCACTGGTGGTGGAAGCCAAGGCAGGAGTGGAGGTAGAAGGAGAGGTTTCCTGGGTTGCTTCCTGAGCGGTGTTCTGGTTTGTAGAACTGTTTATAGTGTTGACGCTGGCGTTTCGCTCTTGTTTTGCAGTGGTTCCTGCAGGTTCCTGATGCTGTGGACTCCTGCTGGTTCTGCTTACCTTCAGCTGCGTCGGTGTGCCTGTCTCTATGGTGTCGTAAGATCTGTCATCCACTAGCCTCGATCTCCTGACAATTCTCTTAATGGTGACCGTGGTTACAGCCTCGTCGGATCCTTCCTGTGTCTGCAAGTCTTGGACTTCGAGGGTCGCTGGTACTGGGGCTGCTGCTGGTGCTTCTACTGCTGGTGGTGGTGTTTCTGCTGCTGGTGGTGGTGCTTCTGCTGGAGGTGGTGGGGCTTCTACTTCTGGTGCTGCCTCTGCTGTTGCTGCTGTTACTGTTGCTGCTGCTGCTGTTGCTGCTGTTACTGTTGCTGCTGCTGCTGTTCTTGCTGCTAGAGACGACGGAGACAAAGGAACGGGTGCTGGCATCGCAGCCGGAGATGACCCAGATGCAGCATCTTCACTAACATCTCCCTTGCTCAACGCCCCTGAAGAAAAAAAACAAAACATCACGACATTAATCACTGGCAAAACATCGTTGTAGACACTTATCAACAAACTGACAACAATCTACACACAGACAAAAACAGCGCATAAAGACAAAATAACCGAAGAAGGTCCGAGACGAAATCGAAACCCACGACCCCTAGTTTTTATGTAATTTCTGTCTCAACTCAAAGAGTTGTTTAACAGTAACATCAAAAACATTAGAAACTCTAATTCTAAATGTAATTCCGTTAATATTCTAGCGAATGTTGAGTTAGATAATCATGCACTAAGATGGTACTTAGTAAAGGGGCCAGTAAATCCAGTATAAGATAACATTGAACTTTATTGATAATAAAGATAAGTAATGATACGAGAATCAATGATTATCATTTTATTAGTACTTTATTAGTTTAGTAAACAATAAAATAAGGGTATAAGGTGTATGAGTGGAAGATAAGGCGTCAGGGTCATACGGAATGAAGAGAATAACACAGGTTGGGGAGTAAGCTTTGATTGAGTCGACGTTCCGCTCTTCGTAGAGCTTCGTCGTGACTTGTTGAAGCTCTTCACAGAGCGAAATGTTCTCCCAGTGAGAGCTCGTTCCCTAACCCGTGTTTTTCTGTCTTCATGGTTCCCTGCCCCTCGCTGTTTCGCTCAATCATCACACGGTGTGGGAGGGCGTGAGGGAGGGACTCGGCTGCCCGACATTTCTACCTCCTCCGGAAGACCCTTCAGTAGTAGGAGGGAGGGGCCCTGGTGGTGGTGAGGGGTGCTCTTGATCCAGGGAACTGAAGCCACTCTCCCGTTCCTCGAATCAAACATTCCTTCCCATTCCCCAGGCCTTGCTTAACTCGAAGTAAGTTGCTACCTGTGTCATGGCTTTTGCGTTTCCGCTTGCGTCTCCTGCGACAAGTACGTGCGTTCGATACGTCGTTCTCGCCTTCGTCTTGCCCCATCGACGACTCTTTAGTGGATCTAAGAACTACGTCTTCGTAATAGACGTCTTCATCGTCAACTACGTCAGAGTGTTGAGGCTGGGTGACCAAAGTGTTGATCTTGTCCCGTGTGATGTCCCTGGGTTCTTGAAGGCTATTTAACTCTCTCTTTATGTCGTACATATTCTCGTAGTCGTCAGGAGTTAGTCTAACCTGTTCTTGGGGTTTTTTGGAGGCTCCAGCCTCGTTATAGTACGTGTGGAGGGTATTGTAGTAATTAGCCGGGGTCGAGGAACTCTCCTTTGGGTGAAGGTTTTTGACTTGGCCAACACCGGCAGCTTCTGCGTCTCTCCCAGCCGCACTCACACCTTTCCTGGTCGTGCTGGGGGCTTCAGGGGTCGTGCTGGGGGCTGCAGGGGTCGTGCTGGGGACTGCAGGGGTTGTGCCTTCCTCCCCTGCTATAGGGGATAGCTGCACCACGTTCGTAGGGTTGAACGGGAGAAAAATATCTAGAGGAGTGCGCGTAGCCAGCAAAAAAGACAAATGGAAAACGTAAACAAAAATGGCATAAGAGAAAGATTAGCTTTAAGCTGTAAATTAGAATGGTGAGACTCAAGAGCTTTAAGCTTTAGCTTTAAGCTGTAAGTGCTGAAATATGTGGCAAGCGAGAAGCAAGTTAGAAAGCGGAGTCTTAGAGAAGCTCCACAGCTTTGATCTCCGCAGGGAAATTAAATTTATCTCTCAGTTTAAAGTTAATATATATTTATATGTTTATTACAAGTTTTTGGGTAATGTGTGTATACATGTACTCACACACGCACACACACACACACACACATACACACAGGAGCTGTGAATCGACCCCTGCAACCCCAGTTGGGTGAGTACACAACATGACTAGGAACAGAATCAATATAGCTATTTACTTACTTTTTGACGGACCTCTTGACCTGACTCGACCTGACTCAGTCAGTTCACTGACCTCCTCTGAAACCAGGACACAATATATACATATGATAAACACTGAATCAACATTTTGGCCCTTAAAATATACAGATTTTTTTATTTGCCACCATTCTCTAGGCCTAGGGAATCTGTTTTGTTTTGATAGGCTGAGACAAAATTGTGGTGTTGATGCATTTTAGATTTCTAAGAGTGTTTTTGAAATTTAGAAGTGTGGAAGAGTACGGGTACTCAGTGAGTACCAGTACTCAGTGAGTACCAGTACTCAGTGAGTACCAGTACTCAGTGAGTACCAGTACTCAGTGAGTACCAGTACTCAGTGAGTACCTTCCTCCTGGATGGTGTCCAGGAGCCTCAGGTTATCGTCGTCGTCTGAGTCAGTTGTCGTTCCTATCAAGACAAAAATTAATTAGAAAACCAAAATTTCTATGCATTTTTAGTTGTATTAAAAAAAAATAGCGAAATTTTCAACAATATCTTCGATTTATTTATTAAATTCAACTTTTTAATAATAATAACAATAATAATAACAAACCTTGCATTGTTATTTCTTCGTCTCCTTCAGAAGGCTCCGACGGGGCACTCGAAGTGGTCTCCTGGACTTCAGGGGTCACAGACCTACTCACACCCTCCCGGACCGATGTCTCCCTGGCCATGGCCTTAGCGATGGCCTTGCCCACGATAACTGAAGCCTTCTGGACAGTGACCGGTCCAGTACGAGTCTGGGCCATTCCTGGCTCGTCCAGCGGCCGTAGCGCAACTTCCCGCAGCGGGTGTGCCTCCTGCGGCACTTCCGCAGCCTCTACCGCCGTCTCTGCAGCCAAGAGAAGTGGTGATATCATGGCATATTGTTTGTGAACGTTTAGAGTATTATTTTATAAGTCATTTGAGGTTTTTAGTTAGTGGTAAATATGGCAACTGAAGCAGAACGTAAAGAACAGTAATTAGGAAGGGAGGGTAATTAGTGGAGCAAGCGAAAGGTAGAGGATTAATGAGGTGTGGCGGGGTAGGAGGGGTGGACCACACCTCCAGACGTGGGACTGACGCCATTAACATCACAATACACAACAAACCCACAGTTTGGAGTTGGAACCTCAGCAGCTGACTATTCGCTCCGTACTGGAAGAGCGTCTAGCCCGGTTATGGCTTGAGGATGGTCCAGGGACGGAGCGAAACGTCGTCTAGAGTTCCCTCCCTTAATTAGTTTAGATGTGGATTTTTTCGGCCACATTACTGAGGCTGTTCGTATTTTTTTTTCATACCAGAGTTACCTGGGGTCTGCCCACCACCCTCCACTGCTGCTGGTTCCTCTCTGCTTGTAGTGCCCTGTGCCCTGTCATCAAGGAGATGGGGCACCTCGCCCTCATGTACCCGTTCACTAGCGGCAACTTGCTCCGTCTTTACCTCCTCAGACTTGACGTTAATACTAGCAGCGCTGAGAGAGAGTCGCAATCTTCCTGTGGTGATGCTCACAGAATCCTCCTCTTCGCTGTTCTCTTCTAAGATCGAGTTGCGGACTGAGTTCGGGGCTGACTTGCTTGGCGAACGGGCGCCCGAAGGTGCGGAGCGTGTGGATGTACTGTCACGGCGTTCCGCAGGTGAGGTCTCCGGGGCCTTCGCGATTCCTGGAGGACGCTGCTCGGGGATATTGGCAGGTTTAAGAATCGAAGTGGGACTTGTATCGGGGCTATGCTCCGGAAGGTCTCTTCTTTGGCTTGACAGATTCACACGCAGAATACTGGAATATTTAGGGACTTTGTTGTGTACTCTTTCTTGAAGCGTCGATGACTGAAAAATATGGGAGGAAGCATCGCCTGGTGGAATCCCAGAAGTAAGAGCTTTTTCAGGTGGAGCTTTAGGGGAAAGAGCTTCGCCATCAAGGGCTTCGAAGATGGGAGCTTGTTCAGGTGGGGTCTTGGAGGTTTTGGAGGCGAGAACTTCTTTTGGCTTAGTCTCGAGAGTGAGAACTTCTTTTGCCTTAGTCTCGAGAGCGAGAGCATCCTCTGGCTGGGTCTCAGAAGTGACAACTTCGTCAACAAGCCTTTCTAAACTGAGAGTTGCGTCAGGTGGAGAGTGGTGAGCCAGGAGAGGGTCCTGGGACTGGGGATTTCTTAGCGATGGGCTGCTAGTGGAAGACTTAGTGTCAAGTGAGAAGTTTGAGGGGGACGTCATGCAGTCTGGAGGTGCTGGGCCTCGAGGCTGCTCCTCGGAGTATTCAGAGACTGAAAGGTCAGCGTAGTGAGTGTAAGCCTTGAGAGGGTGAACCACCACATCTGTGGAGAACAGATGTTACCTCCATTAACAACTACTCGAAATGAGATGACACACACAGCCACGTTCAAGAGTCGAAGTCCCAACGCTGCATACCCTTTGTGGGTTTAGCGCTTAATTTTTTTTATAATAAGCAAAAGAAGAAGTGAAGTTATGAAGATTTGGGTAGAAAAGGAGTGTTTCGCCTATGCAAAAAGGTTTCTTTAGTCGGTGAGTACAAAGGTTAATCAAGGTGATCAGTCCCAGCAGACTTAAGGGACTGACCTCCCTTTCAAGGCTGAGGGACTGATCACCTCAGAATTACTTCTTCACTTCCACACTGCCTCCAGTGTTATAATCGTTCATATTCGACTGATGAAGTCTGCTATGTGGGCGAAACGTTCTGACAACAAGGAGGCTTGATAGCACGGGGAATTGTAACAGTCCTCCCCTCCCTTGGATCAAACCTGATTACCTTCCATTTTCCAAGCATTATATGACTCCTACGGATTTAGCTCTTCTAATAATAATAATAATAATACTAATATTATTATTATTATTATTATTATTATTATTATTATTATTATTATTATCAAAGTAAGGCCAGGTGGGACTGATAGCCATCCTCCACTACGGTACAGAAGCTCTGGTACCGTACATCGCTACTGATACAATCACAACCCCTGCTCTTATTTCCATCTGTGTATGGATAAAAGGAATTTTTTTGAGCCGAGACTCTATAACAATGTATATATTAAATTCGGGTGAGTCATTCAACGCAGGAGGCTCCTGGAGACTCGATACTCCGTCTCCTAGCAGCAAGAGCCTAGCCTCCAGTCTTCCACTGCGGTCTATATTAACGAGTCTGAAGGGAATTTTGGGGTTAATTTGTGATAATAATAATAATAATAATTATAATAATAATAATAATAATAATAATAATAATAATAATAATAATAATAATAATAAGTGACAATAACTCCAATGCTGACTAAATTACTAATATTCTGAACTCACTAGCCATGGGTTCTAACCACACCCGTACCGTGGTCTGTTAGTAATAATTTAGAAAGCACAAACTAGGTCACTCCAGATCTTCATATTTCCACACCCACATACGGCCCCCTGTGAGGGGGGTCGCGGACCCCAATTTGAGAACCCAAGCGTGACTAGACAAGCATGCACTCAGATTAGATTTTTTTACACAGTATTCGGTTGATTTAAGCATTAAAATAATAGGAAATCAATAAAAGGGTGAAGAAAAACAAATAGATAACGTGAAGATTCTGTTGCCATGGCAACACAGCAGAGATGGTTGTCATGGTAACGACTCCCTCAGATTATTTACAGCTTTAGTGAGGCCAACGTTTCGCCCAGTGTAGAGCTTCGTTGTTACTTGATACAGCTCTACAATACACAACACACAATACCCTGGCAACAACAATACACAACACACAATACCCTGGCTACAACAATACATAACACAATACCCTGGCTACAACAATACATAACACAATACCCTGGCTACAACAATACATAACACAATACCCTGGCTACAACAATACATAACACAATACCCTGGCTACAACAATACACAACACACAATACCCTGGCTACAACAATACACAACACACAATACCCTGGCTACAACAATACACAACACACAATACCCTGGCTACAACAATACACAACACACAATACCCTGGCTACAACAATACACAACACACAATACCCTGGTTACAACAATACCCAACATACAATACCCTGGCTACAACAATACACAACACACAATACCCTGGCTACAACAATACACAACACACAATACTCTGGCTACAACAACACACAACATACAATACCCTGGCTACAACAATACACAACATACAATACCCTGGCTACAACAATACACAACACACAATACCCTGGCTACAACAATACACAACATACAATACCCTGGCTACAACAATACACAACACACAATACCCTGGCTACAAACAATACACAACATACAATACCCTGGCTACAACAATACACAACACACAATACCCTGGCTACAACAATACATAACACAATACCCTGGCTACAACAATACACAACATACAATACCCTGGCTACAACAATACACAACATACAATACCCTGGCTACAACAATACACAACACACAATACCCTGGCTACAACAATACACAACACACAATACCCTGGCTACAACAATACACAACACACAATACCCTGGCTACAACAATACACAACACACAATACCCTGGCTACAACAATACACAACACACAATACCCTGGCTACAACAATACACAACACACAATACCCTGGCTACAACAATACACAACACACAATACCCTGGCTACAACAATACACAACACACAATACCCTGGCTACAACAATACACAACACACAATACCCTGGCTACAACAATACATAACACAATACCCTGGCTACAACAATACACAACATACAATACCCTGGCTACAAACAATACACAACACACAATACCCTGGCTACAACAATACATAACACAATACCCTGGCTACAACAATACACAACATACAATACCCTGGCTACAACAATACACAACACACAATACCCTGGCTACAACAATACATAACACAATACCCTGGCTACAACAATTCACAACATACAATACCCTGGCTACAACAATACACAACGCACAATACCCTGGCTACAACAATACACAACACACAATACCCTGGCTACAACAATACACAACACACAATACCCTGGCTACAACAATACACAATACACAATACCCTGGCTACAACAATACACAACACACAATACCCTGGCTACAACAATACATAACACAATACCCTGGCTACAACAATTCACAACACACAATACCCTGGCTACAACAATACACAACACACAATACCCTGGCTACAACAATACACAACACACAATACCCTGGCTACAACAATACACAAACACAATACAGTGGCTACAACAATACATAACACAATACCCTGGCTACAACAATTCACAACACACAATACCCTGGCTACAACAATACATAACACAATACCCTGGCTACAACAATTCACAACATACAATACCCTGGCTACAACAATACACAACACACAATACCCTGGCTACAACAATACACAACACACAATACCCTGGCTACAACAATACACAACACACAATACCCTGGCTACAACAATTCACAACATACAATACCCTGGCTACAACAATACACAACACACAATACCCTGGCTACAACAATACACAACACACAATACCCTGGCTACAACAATACACAACACACAATACCCTGGCTACAACAATACACAACACACACAATACCCTGGCTACAACAATACACAATACACAATACCCTGGCTACAACAATACAACGACACACAATACCCTGGCTACAACAATACACGACACACAATACCCTGGCTACAACAATACACAACACACAATACCCTGGCTACAACAATACACAACACACAATACCCTGGCTACAACAATACATAACACAATACCCTGGCTTACAAAACAATTCCACAACATACAATACCCTGGCTACAACAATACACAACACACAATACCCTGGCTACAACAATACACAACACACAATACCCTGGCTACAACAATTCACAACGCACAATACCCTGGCTACAACAATACATAACACAATACCCTGGCTACAACAATTCACAACACACAATACCCTGGCTACAACAATACATAACACAATACCCTGGCTACAACAATTCACAACATACAATACCCTGGCTACAACAATACACAAACACACAATACCCTGGCTACAACAATACACAACACACAATACCCTGGCTACAACAATACACAACACACAATACCCTGGCTACAACAATACACAATACACAATACCCTGGCTACAACAATACACAACACACAATACCCTGGCTACAACAATACACAACACACAATACCTGGCTACAACAATACAAAACACACAATACCCTGGCTACAACAATACATAACACAATACCATGGCTACAACAATTCACAACATACAATACCCTGGCTACAACAATACACAACACACAATACCCTGGCTACAACAATACACAACACACAATACCCTGGCTACAACAATACACAATACACAATACCCTGGCTACAACAATACACAACACACAATACCCTGGCTACAACAATACACAACACACAATACCCTGGCTACAAACAATACAAACACACAATACCCTGGCTACAACAATACATAACACAATACCCTGGCTACAACAATTCACAACACACAATACCCTGGCTACAACAATACATAACACACATACCCTGGCTACAACAATTCACAACATACAATACCCTGGCTACAACAATACACAACACACAATACCCTGGCTACAACAATTCACAACATACAATACCCTGGCTACAACAATACACAACACACAATACCCTGGCTACAACAATTCACAACATACAATACCCTGGCTACAACAATACACAACACACAATACCCTGGCTACAACAATTCACAACATACAATACCCTGGCTACAACAATACACAACACACAATACCCTGGCTACAACAATACACAACACACAATACCTGGCTACAACAATACACAACACACAATACCCTGGCTACAACAATTCACAACATACAATACCCTGGCTACAACAATACACAACACACAATACCCTGGCTACAACAATACACAACACACAATACCCTGGCTACAACAATACACAACACACAATACCCTGGCTACAACAATACACGACACACAATACCCTGGCTACAACAATACACGACACACAATACCCTGGCTACAACAATACACGACACACAATACCCTGGCTACAACAATACACAACACACAATACCCTGGCTACAACATTACACGACACAATACCTGGCTACAACAATACACGACACACAATACCCTGGCTACAACAATACACGACACACAATACCCTGGCTACAACAATACACGACACACAATACCCTGGCTACAACAATACACGACACAATACCCTGGCTACAATAATACACGACACACAATACCCTGGCTACCATAATACACAACACACAATACCCTGGCTACAACAATACACAACACACAATACCCTGGCTACAACAATACACGACACACAATACCCTGGCTACAACAATACACGACACACAATACCCTGGCTACAACAATACACGACACACAATACCCTGGCTACAACAATACACGACACACAATACCCTGGCTACAACAATACACGACACACAATACCCTGGCTACAACAATACACGACACACAATACCCTGGCTACAACAATACACGACACACAATACCCTGGCTACAACAATACACAACACACAATACCCTGGCTACAACAATACACGACACACAATACCTGGCTACAACAATACACGACACACAATACCCTGGCTACAACAATACACGACACACAATACCCTGGCTACAACAATACACGACACACAATACCCTGGCTACAACAATACACGACACAATACCCTGGCTACAATAATACACGACACACAATACCCTGGCTACCAAATACACAACACACAATACCCTGGCTACAACAATACACAACACACAATACCCTGGCTACAACAATACACGACACACAATACCCTGGCTACAACAATACACGACACACAATACCCTGGCTACAACAATACACGACACACAATACCCTGGCTACAACAATACACGACACACAATACCCTGGCTACAACAATACACGACACACAATACCCTGGCTACAACAATACACGACACACAATACCCTGGCTACAACAAATACACGACACACAATACCTGGCTACAACAATACACGACACACAATACCCTGGCTACAACAATACACGACACACAATACCCTGGCTACAACAATACACGACACAATACCCTGGCTACAATAATACACGACACACAATACCCTGGCTACCATAATACACAACACACAATACCCTGGCTACAACAATACACAACACACAATACCCTGGCTACAACAATACACGACACACAATACCCTGGCTACAACAATACACGACACACAATACCCTGGCTACAACAATACACGACACACAATACCCTGGCTACAACAATACACGACACACAATACCCTGGCTACAACAATACACAACACACAATACCCTGGCTACAACAATACACGACACACAATACCCTGGCTACAACAATACACAACACACAATACCCTGGCTACAACAATACACAACACACAATACCCTGGCTACAACAATACACAACACACAATACCCTGGCTACAACAATACACAACATACAATACCCTGGCTACAACAATACACAACACACAATACCCTGGCTACAACAATACACGACACACAATACCCTGGCTACAACAATACACGACACACAATACCCTGGCTACAACAATACACGACTCACAATACCGCCCTCACTCACCTTCCTTTCTGACGAACTGGATTTTTGCTAAGTTCGGAGGCGCTATTATCTCCTCTTCCCCTTCTTCCCCTTCCTCTTCTCCTTCTTCTTCCCCTTCCTCTTCGCCTTCTTCTTCTTCTTCCTCTTCCTCCTCTTCTTCCTCCTCCTCCTGAGAAACTCCTGTCAGGGAAGATTGTAATTATGTAGCGATTACTTAGCTCTTGATTCGAGGGACTGGATGCTCTCCTCTTCCTCGGATCAAGATCATCTCACAATCCCCTAAGGGTTTGGTGCTTCCCCTTGACTGTGAGCACAGTGAGATTAGCGATTCAGCGAGTGAACACAGTGAGATTAGCTAACCAGCGAGTGAGCACAGTGAGATTAGCGATTCAGCGAGTGAACACAGTGAGATTAGCTAACCAGCGAGTGAGCACAGTGAGATTAGCTAACCAGCGAGTGAGCACAGTGAGATTAGCGAACCAGCGAGTGAGCACAGTGAGATTAGAGATTCAGCGAGTGAGCACACTGAGATTAGCGATTCAGCGAGTGAGAACAGTGAGATTAGCGATTCAGCGAGTGAGAACAGTGAGATTAGCGATTCAGAGAGTGAGCACAGTGAGATTAGCGAACCAGCGAGTGACCACAGTGAGATTAGCGAACCAGCGAGTGAGCACAGTGAGATTAGCGATTCAGCGAGTGAGAACAGTGAGATTAGAGATTCAGCGAGTGAGCACAGTGAGATTAGCGATTCAGCGAGTGAGAACAGTGAGATTAGCGATTCAGCGAGTGAGAACAGTGAGATTAGCGATTCAGAGAGTGAGCACAGTGAGATTAGCGAACCAGCGAGTGACCACAGTGAGATTAGCGAACCAGCGAGTGAGCACAGTGAGATTAGCGATTCAGCGAGTGAGAACAGTGAGATTAGAGATTCAGCGAGTGAGCACAGTGAGATTAGCGAACCAGCGAGTGAGCACAGTGAGATTAGCGATCCAGCGAGTGATCACAGTGAGATTAGCGAACCAGCGAGTGAGCACAGTGAGATTAGCGAATCAGCGAGTGAGCACAGTGAGATTAGCGAACCAGCGAGTGAGCACAGTGAGATTAGCGAACCAGCGAGTGAGCACAGTGAGATTAGCGAACCAGCGAGTGACCACAGTGAGATTAGCGAACCAGCGAGTGAGCACAGTGAGATTAGCGATTCAGCGAGTGAGAACAGTGAGATTAGAGATTCAGCGAGTGAGCACAGTGAGATTAGCGAATCAGCGAGTGAGCACAGTGAGATTAGCGAACAGGCGAGTGAGCACAGTGAGATTAGCGAACCAGCGAGTGAGCACAGTGAGATTAGCGAACCAGCGAGTGAGCACAGTGAGATTAGCGAACCAGCGAGTGAGCACAGTGAGATTAGCGAACCAGCGAGTGAGCACAGTGAGATTAGCGAACCAGCGAGTGAGCACAGTGAGATAAGTGAACCAGAGAGTGAGTACAGTGAGATAATAGCCAATAAGCGAGAAGTAATAAGCTTTGAGCTTAGTGAATGAGCTTAGAGCTCGAGACCTACCACCGAGCTCTAGCAGAGCTTCCATCTCGTTCTCCCTCTCGCTATCCCTCTCGCTATCCCTCTCGCTATCCCTCTCGCTATCCTCTTCAGAATCCTCCATCCCGTCTAGTTCTGGAAATAAGGGTCTGTTAGGAAACTAAATTCTCGTCGTTGGTCAAAGGGCTCTTGATCCAAAGATTTGGATTTGCTTTTCTCTTCCTGGGATCAAACCTCATTACTAAGGTGCTCTATACCCTCAAGGGCTCAGTAATTCACCTTCATTTTTTTGTAATAACGTTTTTTTAAGGGATAACTACATCAATCTCCTTGAAAATTTATTTTTAAGGGATAACTACGTCAATCTCCTTGAATTTTTTTTATGCTTTACTAGTAATAGTATAACCATGTAATAAAGGTTGTAGAAAAATATGTGTCTGTTTTAACAGACAGAGTAGTCTGTTTTAACAGACAGAGATGTCTGTTTTAACAGAGTTGTCTGTTTTAACAGACAGACAGAGTAGTCTGTTAAACAGACTACGTTATATTGTTTAGTGAAGCTTGGTTAATGAAGTCTGTGAGAGTGTTTTTGGGTCTTTGGGAGGGTCCTGGATCGTAGATTACACCTGCCAGTCACTTGAGGTCTTCAGGTAGGTGCTGGAAATTTAGGATATACAGTCAAGTAACTGGAAGTCCTGTGGCAGGTGTTGAAGAACGTAGATAACACCAGCCAGTTACTTGAGGGCTTCAGGGAGGTGATGGATGCTTAGGATATACAGTCAAGTAACTGGAAGTCCCGTGGCAGGTGCTGAAGAACGTAGGATACTCCAGTCAGTCAGACAAAGGAGGCCCTGACGGAGTTGAAGAGCGCTGGACACAGTCCTGTCGCTATAGATGTTGAAAAAAGCGCTGGAGAGAGTGTGGCACACACAGTTCAGTCACTGGAAATCCTGAAGGCAGTGCTGCAGAGCATAGTACATACACAAGCCAGTGACTAGAGGTGTTGAAGGAGACGCTGGAGTGAGGCACAATCAATCCAGTCACTGGAATTCCCCCAGACGCACTCCACAATCCTACTTACCTACACTCTCAGTCATGGAGTCCCTCCGAAAACCACAGCACACCTACACACATCCAGAGACCCAGACCGTCACGAACTAAGATGATTCACTGCATCAGCTCACCAAAAAAAAAAGGAAAAAACTATCCACTTCACGTGGAGAAAATCGAAAAAAGAAAAACACCGTACCTGTAAATGTGGTCGGTAACAAACGCATTCATCTGACCTCTCAACTCAAACATCAATTTAAACAAAAGCAAGAAGAAGCCAGATAAACTTTAGTAAGGTTAGAAACTTGAAACACACGTGAAGCAGATCGGTATATTTCGACACCAGCCAGAGCCCTCTTTGGAAGGATTTTTGGAAGATAAAATATACAGATCTGGATGCGAGTCTCGCATTGCTGACAGTTGGGAAGTCAACACGAATCTGCGTAATTAGATTTGACCGTGACAACGTCTCGCTCTGTGTAGGGCTTTGGTATGAGTTGTTAGAGCTCTCCATGGGGCGAAAGGTCGTCCCTATGCTAGATTTGCTTCAGGAACTTGTGTTTTTGGCTCTATTCTCGTCAGCAAAACATCGCATCACTCACACAAGCATCACTAGCGCCAGCGGTTGGAAGGCAAAAACTACTAATAGCATTGAAGTTATTCACTAGCACAACGTTTCGCCCTTTCACTGCTATTAGTGTTTTGTTTTTCACCGCTGGTCGGCGCTACTTTGCACCGCTAGCTTCATTACCGACGGCAGTGAAATATTCGTAGTAAGGCGCACTTCCTACGTCCAGCAGCAGGTCCTCTATTGTTGACTCTACCGAAGAGGAGACCAAGACCATCACAACCTGCTTTCTGGAGGGTTCTTGATTCCAGGAAGTGGAGTTACTCTCCTCTTCCTCGGACCAAAACCCCGTTTCACCCCATTCCCCATGAGTTCAACACTTTCCCATGAACTTATAAAGTCAGAGAGACCATTCATTTGGTACACTCCCTTGACTATTGCAATATCAACACAAGTCCTTCAGAAATAATAGATTTTATTGTCTGTTGTTCAGTATAGACATCTTGTTAGTTACTAGGAAGCGTTAATGGCCCTAGAGGTAGAACAGGTGAGAACACGACTGCTAGAATCTAGGTAAAAATCTCTTCCTGCTTCTAGGATACGCATCTGTTTCCGGGCTTGTCTCTGGTTTTGCGTAAAGTGAATGATTCTGTACTGGTCTCTGTATCTGGGTCAAGCATCTGTCCAAGTTTCTGTATTGGTCTCTGTATCTGGGTCAAGCATCTGTCCATGTTTCTGTATTGGTCTCTGTATCTGGGTCAAGCATCTGTCCATGTTTCTGTATTGGTCTCTGTATCTGGGTCAAGCATCTGTCCAAGTTTCTGTATTGGTCTCTGTATCTGGGTCAAGCATCTGTCCATGTTTCTGTATTGTCTCGGTATCTGGGTCAAGCATCTGTCCAAGGGTTCTTGTATTGGATCTGTAGCTGGTCAAGCACTGGCCATGTTTCTGTAGTGGCTCTGTATCTGGGTCAGGCATTTGTCCAATGTTTTCTGTAGTGGTCTCTGTATCGTGGGTCAAGCATCTGTCCCAAGTTTTCTTGTATTGGGCGCTGGAGCTGGGTCAAGCGCTTGCCCATCTTTTCGTCCCTGTGTTTGGGGATAAACATCTTCGTTTTCCCCATTGGTTCCTGTAATTGTAGGAGACAAAAACAGCTGCCAGACTTCGTTTCGCCTATACAAAGAGAGCAGAGGTTGTTTCTCCTTATGGTAAACAGACATTCCTACTGTCCAGAGTGTTTGTTCACTACAAGAATGAAATGTTGACCAACGCTGGTAGTCCCTATGTTGTACTTGCCTGGTATCACGAGGTTTGGCCATGCTCTGGTAGGCCCTATGTGTCTTGCCTCTGGGAGTCCCCAATGTTGTCTTGCGCTGGTAGTCCCTATGTTCTTGCTCCTGGTAGTCCTATGTGACTTCTCTGGTATCCCGTGTTCTTGCGTCTGGTAGGCCCGATTTGTCTGCCTGGTAGTCCCTGTGTTGTCTTCTCTGTAGTCCCTATGTTGTCTGCCTGGTAGTCCCCATGTGTCTTGCTCTGGTAGTCCCTGTGTTGGTCTTGCTCTGGGAGTCCCTGTGTTGTCGTGCGTCTGTGTAGTCCCGATGTTGTCTTTTGCCTGGGAGTCCCTTCCCTGTGTTTGTCTTGCTCTGGTAGTTCCCTGTGATGTCTTGCTCTGTAGTCCCTATGTTTCTTTGCGCTGGTAGGCCCTATGGTGTCTTGCTCAGGTTATCCCTATGTTGTCTGCTCGGGTAGTCCCTGGGTTGTCTCTTGCTCTGTATCCCCTATGTTGTCTGGCTCTGGTAGTCCCCTATGTTGTCATTGCTCTGTAGTCCCTATGTTGTCTTGCTCTGTAGTACCCTGTGTTGTCTTGCCTGGTAAGTCCCCTAGGTTTGTCTTGCGCCTGGTAGTCCCCTAAGCTGTCGTGCTCTGGTAGTCCCGATGTTGTCTTGCTCTGGTAAGTCCCTGTGTAGACCCTTCTCTGGTACCCTAGTGTTTCATTGCTCTGGTATCCCTATGTGGTCCTTGCTCGTATCCCCCGATGTTGTTCTTGCCTCTGGTAAGTCCCTAGGTTGCTTGCCCTGGTAGTCCCTGTGTTATCTCTGCTCAGGGTAGTCCTATGTTGTCCTGACTCTGTAGTCCCTGTGTTGTCTGCTCTGTAGTCCCTATGTTGTCTTGCTCTGGTAGTCCCTGTGTTGTCTGGCGCTGTAGTCCCTATGTTTGTCCTTGCTCTGGTAGCCCCGATGTTTCTTGGCTCTGGTAGGGCCTTGTGTTGTCTTGCTCTGGAGTCCCGAGTTGGTTCCTTGCTCTGGTAGTCCCTGTTTGTCTTGCTCTGTAGTCCCCTATGTTGTCTTGCTCTGGTAGTCCCTGTGGTGTCTTGCTCTGGTAGTTCCCTATGTTGTCCTGGCTCTGTAGTCCCTGTGTTCTTGCTCTGGTAGTCCATGTGGTGTTCTTGCTCTGGTATTCCTATGTTGGCTTGTCTGGTAGTCCCTATGTGTCTTCTCCTGGTATCCCTGTGTGGTCTTCTCTTGTAGTTCCCTGGGTTTTGGCTTTGCTCTCTGTGCCCTATGGTGCTTTCTCTGGTAGTCCCTGATGTTGTCGTCTCTGGGCTAATCCCTGAGGTTGTCGTGAGCTCTGGGAGTCCCTCGTTGCCTTGCTCTGGTAGTGACCCTCAAATGTGTCTTGCTTCTGGTAGTCCCTGGGGTTGTCTTGCGCATGGTAGTCACCCCTGTGTTGTCTTGCTCTGGTAGTGCCCGATGTTGTCTTGCTCTCGTAGTCCCTTATGGTTTCTTGCTCGGTAGTCCCCTGTGTTGTCCTTGCGCTGGTAGTCCCTGTGTTGTCTTGCGCCTGGTATTCCCTGTTGTTGTCGTGACGCCTGGTAGTTTCCTATGTTGCGTCTTGCTCTGGTATCTCCCTATTGTCTTGCCAGGTAGAGTCCCTGTGTTTCCTGCGCTAGGCTAAGTCCCTGTGTTGTCTTCTCTGGTAGTCCCTATTTGTCTTGCACTGATAGTCCCCTGGTTGGTCTTGCTCTTGGTATCCTGTGGTTCCCTTGCGCGTAGTCCCTTGGTGCCTACTCCTGTAGTCCCTATGTTTCTGGCTCGGTATCCCTGTTTTCCTTGCTCGGGTAGTCCCTGTGTTTTCTCTCTGGTAGTCCCTATGTTGTCTGCTCTAGTATAAACTATTTTTCTTGCGTCTGGTATCTCCCTCGTCGTTGTCTAGCTCTGGTAGTCCCGCATGTGGTGTCTTGCTCTGTAAGTCCCCTGTGTTGTCCTTTCTCTGGTGTCCCTGTGTCTTGCTCTGGTATTCCCTGTGGTTCTTCCGGTAGTACCTGCGTTGCTTTCTCCTGGTAGTCCCTATGTTTGTCTGCGACTCTGTGTATCCCTGTGATTGTCTTGCTCTGGTAGGCCCGGGTTGGCTTGCTCTGGTAGGCCCTTTTGTCTTCTCTGGTATCCCTGTGATGTCCGTGCTCTGTAGTCCCTATGTTGTCTTTCTCTGGTATCCCTTGTTGTCCCTGACTCCTGGGAAAGTCCCTGGGTTGTCTTGGCTCTGGTAGTCCTATGTTTTCGACTCGGGTAGTCCCTGTTGTTGTCTGCTCTGGTATCCCTATGTTGTCTGACTCTGTAGTCCCCTGTGATGACCTGCTCTGTATCCCCTTGATGTCCTTGCTCTGGATAGTCCCTGTGATGTCTTGCTCGGGTAGTCCCCTGTGTTGTCTTGCTCTGGTAGTCCCCTGTGGTATTTGTCTTCCCTGGTCTAGTCCCTGTGATGTCTTTGCTCTGGTAGTCCCTGTGTTTGTCCTGCCTGGTAAGTCCCTGTGATGTCTGCTCTGGTAGTCCCATGTGTTTCTTGCTCTGGTAGTCCTGTGTTGTCATTCTCAGGTAGTACCCCCCCTGTGTTGTCTTGCTCTGGTAGTACCCTGTGATGTTCCCTAGCTCTGGTCGTCCCTGTGGTGTCCTTGCTCTGGTAGTCCCTGTGTTGTCCTTGCTCTGTATCACCCTGTGTTGTCTTGCTCGGGAGTCGCGGTGATGGTCCTTTGCTCTGGTAGTCCCTGTGTTTCTTTGCTCTGGTAGTCCCTGTGATGTCTTGCTCTGGTAGTCCCTGTGTTGTCTTGCTCTGGTAGTCCCTGTGTTGTCTTTCTACTGAGTCCCTGTGTTTCTTGCTCTGGTATCCCTGTGATGTCCTTGCTCTGTAAGTCCATGTTGTCTTGCTCTGTAGTCCCTGTGATTCTTGGCTCCTGGTAGTCCCGGTGTTGTCTTGCTCTGGTGATCCCTGTGTTGTCTTGCTCTGGTAGTCCCTAGGTTTGTCCTGACTCTGGTAGTCCCTGTGTTGTCTTCTCTGTAGTCCCTGTGTTGTCTTGCTCTGAATAGTTCCACTGTGTTTGTCTTGCTCTGTAGTCCCTATGTTGTCTGACTCGGTAGTCCCAATGTTTTGTCTTGCCTGGTAGTTCCCTGCGGTGTCTTTCTCAAGGTAGTCCCGATGTTTGTCTACTCTGGTAGTCCCAGGTTGTCCTTGCTCTGGTAGTCCTGTGTTGTCTTTCTCGTAGTCCCTATGTTGTCTGACTCTGTAGTTCCCTGTGTTGTCTTGCTCTGGTAGTCCCCGGTTTGTCTTGCAGGTAGTCCCTGTGTGTACTACTCTGGTAGTCCCCTGTGTTTCTTGCTCTGGTACCCCCTGTTGTTTCTGCTCATGGTAGTCCCTGTGTTGTCGGAACTCTGGTAGTCCTGTGTTGTCTTGCTCTGGTAGCCCTGTGTTGTTCTTGCTCTGGAGTCCCTGTGTTGTCTGACCTTGTAAGTCCCTGTTTGGTCGTGCTCTGGTAGTCCCTGTGTGGGTCTTGCTCTGTAGTCCTGTGTTGTCGTGCTTCGGTAGTCCCTGTGTTGTCTTGCTCTGGTAGTCCCTGTTGTTGTCTATGCTCTGGTAGTCACGTGTGACTGCTCCTGGTAGTCCCTGGGTTGTCTTTTCCGGAGTCCAGTGTTGTCTTTGCTCTGGTAAGTCCCTGTTTGTCTTGCTCTGGTAGTCCCTTGTGTTTCTTGCTCTGGTAAGTCCCTGTGTTGTCCTTTCTCTGGTAGTCCCTGTGTTGTCTGACTCTGTAGTCCCTGTGTTTGTCTTGCTCTGGTAAGTCCCTTGTGTTGTCTTTCCGCTGGTAAGTCCCTGTGTTGTCTGCCGCTGTAGTTCCCTGGTTGGCTTGCTCTGGTAGTCTCCCTGTGTTGTCGTTCTCCTGGTAGTCCCTGTGTTTGTCCTTACTCTGGTAGTTCCCTGGGTTGTTTGCTCGGTAGTCCCTTTTTGTCTTTCTTCTGTAGACCCTGTTTTGTCTTGCGCTGTACCCTGTGTTGTCTTGCTCTGGTAGTCCCCGGGTTGTCTTGTCTCTGTAGGCCCTGTGTTTGTCTTGCTCTGGTAGTCCCTAGTTGTCTGACTCTGTATCCCCTATTTTGCTCTTGCTCGGTACAGGTCCCGGCGCTTGTCTATTCTCTGGAGTCCCTATTTGTCTGACTCTGGTATCCCTCTGAGGTTGTCTGACTCTGGTAGTTCCCTGTGTTGTCTTTCTCTGGTAGTCCCTATGGTCTTGTCTGACATCTGGTAGTCCTTCTTGTTGTCTTGCTCTGGTAGTCCCGCGTTTCTCTTGCCTCATGGTAGCCCTTCTGTTGTTGACTCTGTATCCCTGTGTTTTCTTTGCTCTGGTAGTACCCCTTGTTGTCTTTCTTCTGGTAGTCCCTGTGTTTCTTCTCGAAGTCCCCTGTGTTGTCTTTGTCTCGGGAGATCCCTATGTTGTCTGACTCTGGTAGTCCCCGGTTTGTCTCTGCTCTGGGAGTCCCATGTGGTGTCTTTCACTGGCAGTCCGGTATGTCTTGCTCTGGTAGTCCCCTGTGTTGTTCTTTCTCTGGTAGTCACCTATGTTGTCTTCTCTGTAGTCCCTGTGGTGTTTGCTCGGTAGTCCCTGTGTTGTCCTTGCTCTGGTAGTCCCTGTGTTGTCTTGCGCTGTAGTCCTGGGTTTGTCCCTGCTCGGGTAGTCCCTGGGTTTCCTTGCTCTGGTAGTCCATGTTGTTGTCTTGCTCTGGTAGTCCCCTGTGTTTTGAGTCTTGCTCTGTAGTCCCTATGTTGTCTGCTCTGTAGTCCACCGATGATGTCTTGGCTCTGGTAGTCCCCCATGTTGTCTTGCGCTGGTAGTCCCCTAAGTTGTCCTTGCTCGGGAGTCCCCTCTATGTTGTCTTGCTCTGGTAGTTTCCCCGAGTTGTCTTGCTCGGTAGTGCCCCCCCCTATGTTGTCTTGCCTCTGGTAGTCCCCTGTGTTGTCTTGCGCTGGTAGTCCCCTGGTTTGTCTTGCTCTGGTAGTCCCTGTGTTGCTTGCTCTGGTAGTCCCTATGTTGTCTTCGCTGGTAAGTCCTGTGTTGTCTTGATCTGGTAGTACCCTGTGTGTCTTGCTCTGGTAGTCCCTATGTTGTCTTGCTCTGGTAGTCCCTGTGTTGTCTTGCTCTGGTAGTCCCTGTGTTGTCTTGCTCTGGTAGTCCCTATGTTGTCTTGCTCTGGTAGTCCCTATGTTGTCTTGCTCTGGTAGTCCCTGTGTTGTCTTGCTCTGGTAGTCCCTGTGTTGTCTTGCTCTGGTAGTCCCTGTGTTGTCTTGCTCTGGTAGTCCCTATGTTGTCTTGCACGGTAGTTCCTATGGTGGTCTTGCTCTGGTATTCCCTATGTTGTCTTGCTCTGGTAGTCCCTATGTTGTCTTGCTCTGGTAGTCCCTATGTTGTCTTGCTCTGGTAGTCCCTATGTTGTCTTGCTCGGGTAGTCCCGATGTTTTCTGCGCTGTAGTCCCTTGTTTGTCTTGCCTGGTACCCGATGTTGCTTGCTCTGGTAGTCCCTGTGTTTGTCTTGCTCTGGTAGCCCCCTATGTTGTCTTGCTCTGGTAGTCCCTATGTTGTCTTGCTCTGGTAGTCCCTATGTTGTCTTGCTCTGGTAGTCCCTATGTTGTCTTGCTCTGGTAGTCCCTATGTTGTCTTGCTCTGGTAGTCCCCCTATGTTGTCCTGACTCTGTATCCCCTGTGTGGTCTTTGGCTCTGGTCAGTCCCCTAGTTGTCGTGCTCTGGAGTCCCTGTGTTGTCTTGCTCTGGTAGTCCCTATGTTGTCTTGCTCTGGTAGTCCCTATGTTGTCTTGCTCTGGTAGTCCCGTGTTGTCCTTGCTCTGTAGTCCCTAGTTGTCGGGCCTGGTAGTCCCGGTTGTCTTGCCCGCTGGGAGTCCCTAATGTTGTCTGCTCTGTAGTCCCGTTTGACTTGCTCTGGTAGTCCCTATGTTGTCTTGCTCTGGTATCCCCTTGTTTCTTGCTCTTGTAGTCCCTGTGTTGTCCTTGCGCTGTTATTCCTATGTAGTCTTGCACTGTATCCCTATGGTTGTCTTGCGCTGGTAGTCCCTGTGTTGTCTTGCTCTGGAGTCCCTGTGGTTGTCTTGCATCTGGTAAGGCCCTAATGTTTGTCTTGCTCTGGTAGTCCTGTGTTGTCTTGCTTGGAGTTCCCTGTTTGGCTTGCTCGGTAGTCCCTGTGTTGCCTTGCTCTGTATCCCTATGCTGGCTTGCTCTGGTAGTCCCTGTGTTGTCTTGCTCTGGTACCCTGTGTTTTTTCCTTGCGCTGGTAGTCCATTTGTCTTGCTCTAGTTAGTCCCCTATGTTGTTCTTGCTCTGGTAGTCCCTGTGTTGTCTGCTCTGGTAGTCCCTGTGTTGGTCTTGCTTCTGGGAAGTCCCTGTGGTTGTCTTTCTTCTGGTAGTCCCTGTGTTGTCTTGCTCTGGTAGTCCCTGTGTTGTCTTGCTCTGGTAGTCCCTGTGTTGTCTTTCTCTGGTAGTCCCTGTGATGTCTTGCTCTGGTAGTCCCTGTGTTGTCTTGCTCTGGTAGTCCCTGTGATGTCTTTCGCTGTAGTTCCCTTGATGTCTTGCTCTGGTAGTCCTGTGTTGTCTGACTCTGTATTCCTGTGATGTCTTGCTCTGGTAGCCCTGTGTTTGTCTTGCTCTGGATCCCTGTGATGTCCTTGCTCCAGGAATTCCCTTGTGTTGTCCTTGCCTGGTAGTCCCTGTGTTTGTCTTTGCTCTGGTATTCCCTGTGATGTCTTCCTGGGGTAGTCCCTTGTTGTCCTGCTCTGGTAGTCCCCCTGTTTCTTGCCGGTAGTCCCCTGATGTTTGTCGTGCTCGATCCCTAGGTTGTCCTTGGGCTCTGGATAGTCCCTCTCTTGTCCTTGCTCTGGAGTCCCGTGATGTCCTTGCTCTGGTAGTCCCCTATGTGTCTTGCGCTGGGAGTCCCCTGTGTTGTCTTGCCTGGTAGTCCTGTGTTGTCTGACTCTGGTAGTCCCTGTGTTGGCCGGACGTCTGTAGGTTCCCTGTGTGTCTTGCTCTGTAGTCCCATGTTGTCTTTCTCTGGTAGTCCCCTGTTTGTCTTGCTCTGTAGTCCCTAAGTTGTCGTGCTCTGTAGTCCCTGTGTTGTCTTTCTCTGGAGTCCCTATGTTTGTCTTCTCTGGTAGTCCCGGTGTTGTCTTGCTCTGGTAGTCCCTGTGTTGTCTGCTCTGGTAGGTTCCCTGTGTTGTCTTGCTCTGGTAGTCCCTGTGTTGTCTTGCGCTGGTAGTCCTGTGGTTGTCAGACTCTGGTAGTCCCTGTGTTATATTGGTCTGGTAGTCCCGGTGTTTGTCTTGCTCTGGTATCCTATGTTTGTCTGACTCTGTAAGTCCCTGTGTTTCTGCCTGGTAGTCCCGTGATGTCTTGCTCTGGTAGTCCCTGGTTGTCTTGCTCAGTAGTCCTAATTGGTCTTTCTCTGGTAGTCCCTGGTTCTGCGCAGGTAGGCCCTGTGTTGTCCTTGCTCTGGTAGGTCCTGTGTTTGTCTGATCTGGTAGTCCCTATGTTGTGTCTTGCTCTGGTAGTTCCCTGCGTTGTCTTTCTCTGGTAGTCCCTATGTGGTCTGACTCTGGTAGGCCCGATTTGTTCTTGCGCTGGTAGTCCCGGCGTTGTCTTCTTCTTTGTAGTCCTGTGGGGTCTGACTCTGGTAGTCCTGTGGTGTCTTTCTCTGGTAGTCCCTGTGTTGTCTGGACTCTGGTAGTCCCTATGTTGTCGGAAACTCTGGTAGTCCTGTGTTTTGTCTGGGCTCTGGTAGTCCCTATGTTGTCTTTCTCTGGTAGTCCCTATGTTGTCTTTCGCTGGTATCCCTAATGTTGTCCTGACTCAGGAAGTCCTGTGATGCTTGTCTCCTGGTAGTCCCTATGTTGTTTCCCCCTTGCTCTGGTAGTCCCTGTGATGTCTCTCTCTGGTAGTCCCCCCTGTGTTGTCTTGCCTGGATTCCCGGTGTGTGTCTTGCTCTGAGTTCCCCTGTGGTTTGTCTTGCTAGGGTAGTCCGTGGTTGTCTTGGCGCTGGGAGTCCCTGTGAATGTTGCTCTGTAGTCCCTGTGATTCTTTCTCTGGTAGTCCCTAGTTGTCTTGCTCTGGGTATCCGGATTCCTTTCTCTGGTAGGTCCTGTGTTGTCTGCTCTGGTAGTCCCTGTGTGTCTTGCTCTGGTAGTCCCGGTGGTGTCTTGCTCTGGTAGTCCCTGTGGTTTTCTTGCGCTCTGGTAGTCCCTGTTGATGTCTTTCTCTGGGTAGTGTTCCCTGTGGTTGTCGACCTGGTAGTCCCTGTGTTGTCTTGCTCTGGTAGTCCCTGTGATGTCTTGCTCTGGTAGTCCCTGTGTTGTCTTGCTCTGGTAGTCCCTGTGATGTCTTTCTCTGGTAGTCCCTGTGTTGTCTTGCTCTGGTATCCCTGTGTTGGCTTGGCTCTGGTAGTCCCTGTGTTGGTCTTGCGCTGTATCCTGTGTTGTCTTGCTCTGGTATTCCCTGGATGTCTTGCCTGGAGCTCCTGTGATGTCTTTCCTCTGGTAGTCCCATGTTGTCTTGCTCTATCTCCCTGTGATGCTTTCTCTGGGAGTCCCTGTGTTTGGCTTGCTCTGGGTAGTCCCCTGTGTGTCCTTGCTCTGGTAGTCCTGTGGTTGGTCTTGCTCTGGTAGTCCCCTGTGGTTGTCTTGCTCTGTTAGTCCCTATGTTGTCTTGCTCCCTGTAGTCCCTTGTTGTCTGACTCTGTTAGTCCCTATGTTGTACTTGCGCCTGGTAGTCCCTGTGTTGTCTGACTCTGGTATCCCTATGTTGGCTTGCTTCTGTAGGCCTGCGTTGTCTTTCTCTGTAGTCCCTATGTTTGTTCTGACTCTGGTAGTCCCTTGTTGTCTTGGCTCTGTAAGTCCCTGGATGATGTCTTAGCTCTGGTAGTCCCTGTGTTGTCTGACTCGGTAGTCCCTATGTTTCTGACTCTGGAAGTACCTGTGTTGTCTGTGCTCTGGTAGTCCCTGCGTTGTCTTTCCTGGTAGTCCCTATGTTGTCTGACTCTGGAGTCCCCTGTGTTGTCTTTCCTGGTAGTCGCTATGTTTCTGACGCTGGAAGTCCCTATGTTGTCTTACTCGGGTAGTCCCCTGTGCTGTCTTGTCTCTGGTATCCCTAGGTTGTCTGACTCTGGATCCTGTGTTGCTGACATTCTGGGAGTCCCTGTGATGTCCTTTCGCCTGGATCCCTTGTGTCTTCTCTGTAGTCCCCTGTGATGGCTTTCTTCTGGTAGTCCGGCTGGTTGTCTGTGCTCTGGTAGTCCCTGAGTGTTTGGTCTTGGCTTCGGGTAGCCTGTGATGTCTTTCTCTGGGAGTCCCTATGTTGTCTTGCTCTGGAGTCCCTGTGATGTCTTTCACTCTGGTAGTCCCTGTGTTGTCCTTGCCGGTAGTCCCTGTGATGTCTGTGCTCTGGTAGTCCCTGGGGTGTCTTGCTCTGGTAGTCCCTGTGATGCGTTCTCTGGTAGTCCCCTATGTTGTCTTGCTCTGGTAGTCCCGTGATGTTCGTGCTCTGGTTAGTTCCCTGTGTTTTCGTGCTCTGGTAGTCCCTGTGAGAGGCTTTCTCTGTAGTCCCTATGTTGTCTTGCCTGGTAAGTCCCCTGTGAGGGTCCCCTTTCTCTGTATGTCCCTATGTTGTCTTGCTCTGGTATCCCCTGTGATGTCTTTCACTGGTAGTCCCTATGTTGTCTTGTCCTCTGGTAGTCCCCCATGTTGTCTTCTCTGGTAGTCCTGTGATGTCTTTGTGCTCTGTAATCCCAATGTTGTCTTGCTCCGGTAGTCCCGGTGAGCTTTGCTCGGTAGTCCCTGTGTTGTCCTTGCTCTGGTACCCTGTGATGTCTTTTCTTCTCTGGTAGTCCCTATGTTGTCTTGCGCTGTATCCCTGTGATGTCTTCTCTGTAGTCCCGATGTTGTCTTGCTCGGTAGTCCCGGTGATGTCCTTTTCTCGGGTATCCCTATTTGTCGTTCTCTGGTAGTCCCTATGTTGTCTTGCTCCTGTAGTCCTGTGATGTCTTGCTCTGGTAGTCCCTGTGTTGTCTTCCGTCTGGTAGTTCCCTAATGTTGTCTTTCTCTGGTAGGTCCCTATGTGCTTGCTCTGGTAGTCCCTATGTTGTCTGACTCTGGTAGTCCCTATGTTGTCTTGCTCTGGTAGTCCCTGTGATGTCTTGCTCTGGTAGTCCCTGTGTTGTCTTTCTCTGGTAGTCCCTATGTTGTCTTGCTCTGGTAGTCCCTGTGATGTCTTGCTCTGGTAGTCCCTGTATGTTCCTTTCTCTGGTAGTCCCTATGTTGTCCTTGCTCTGGTAGTCCCTAGGTTAGTCTTGAACTCTGTAGTCCCTGTGTTGTCTTTCTCTGGTAGTCCCTATGTGGTCCTGATGACTCTGGGTAGTTCCCTGTGTTTGTACTGGCATCTGGAAGTCCCGTGTTGTCTTCTCGGGTAGTCCCTGTGTTTGCTTGCTCGGTAGTCCCTGTGTTGACTTTGCTCTGGTAGTCCCTGTGTTGTCCTTGCCTCTGGTAGCCCTGTGTTGTCTGTGCCTCTGGTAGTCCCAGTGTGGTCTGACCGCTGGTAGTCCCTGTGTTGTCTTGCTCTGGTAGTCCCTGCGTTGTCTTTCTCTGGTAGTCCCTATGTTGTCTGACTCTGGTAGTCCCTGTGTTGTCTTGCTCTGGTAGTCCCTGTGTTGTCTTGCTCTGGTAGTCCCTATGTTGTCCTTTCTCTGGTAGTTCCCCCTATGTTGTCTTTCACTCTGGTAGTCCCTATGTTTCTACTCTGTAGTCCCTGTGATGTCTTGCTCTGGTATTCCCGTGATTCTTTGGCTCTGGTAGTTCCCTGTGTTTCTTAGCTCTGGAGTCCCTGTTGTTGGGTCTTGCTCTGTAGTCCCTGGGTGTCTGACTCTGGTAGTCCCTATGTTGTCTTGCTCTGGTAGTCCCTGCGTGGTCTTTCTTCTGGTAGTCCCGTATGTGTTCTGACTCGGTAGTCCCTGTGTTGTCTTCTCTGGTAGTCCCCTGTGTGTCTTTCTCTGGTAGTCCCTATGTTGTCTGACTCCGGGTAGTCTCTATGTTGTCTCCCTCAGTAGTCCCGATATTGTCCTTGCTCTCCACGAAGGACGTCCAACAAGCTCTCATGCAGGATGATAACTATGCCCAATTTCTAATTGCACGATTATAATTTTGGTAGGCTTATTACTCTGTTAATTAAACGGTCCTAGCAAGCAGGAAACTAAGGCTACTGAACGAAAGTTCCTTTTACGATCTCTATATTTCGTTTCCCATTCTACTAACGTGAGGGAAAGGACACAGCTATATAATTAGATTTTGATGTATTAGACACAGGTGTAACACCTGGGTATCTTTGTTTGGTCAGATATAGATACCCAGGAGTTTACTCATGTGTCTTAATTCATCAAGTTCCGATAATTCTTCAGCGGCCATTACCATGAAGCTTATGGAAAGCTTGATCTGCAACTCATGTCTCTACTACCAGTAAAGCTGAGCCAGCCGAGCAGCCAGTCCATGGGGCCTACCTACAAATTTGAAATTTTAGGCCGACGCCTAAACAAAGAAGCCGCAACTGCTAATCAAAAGCTGAAGTCGTTCGAACCGGGGTGCTGTTGAGGTTAAAATTGAGTAAAGCTGCAAAACCAAGAGGCAAATGAGTTGAAGGATGCACTAATGTTTAGCATAGGCCGCTACTGTGACAAGGGTTACTATCACGACAAGGGCGCACTGTGAGGAAAGGATTGGTTAATGTAAGGCTGCGCTCTACCAACATCAAGTCAAGGCCCGCCACTTCGATGTCCGAGAACTCTCGTCACGCGAGGCGCCCTGGTCACGCCTCCTGGGGTACGTGACCGCCTGTTTACACAGCGTAAAATTTCTTACTCATTCTAAATTTCCTGAAACGCGGGCGCCTCTGGTGTCAAGTTCTGCTGTCTTTCTCGACATTAGCGTATATTTCCTGCTGTCCCCCTGGGCGGCTCTGCGTGTCATATTGTCGTAATGTTTCTCAAAGATATCCCCTCTTCACTGCGACTTCTTCACCTTCCTCCTCCTTCCTCTTCCTCCTTCTCTTCCCTCCTCCTCATCCTCCTCTTCTTCTTCCTCTTCCACCTCGAATCTGTTATTTTGAGGATATGGATGGAACCTGTTTCTCAAGTTTCATCTTTAATAAGCATTGCAAAGGTGAAGAAGCCAATAGACCCTAAAAGGCATGGTAATCTGTAACTTTTAGCCACGGTCCTGACCCTCTTCAGCAGTTCGGAAGCCCGAAAATATACCGATCTATTTTAATCCAAGTTAAAGTTTTTTTGGTCCAAGCATTTCCTGATCTTATTGGGTCAGAGTTTACGTATTTAATTGTTAAATGAGAATTGTTTTAGCCATACAGTTAGAGAAGGAGACTCATGAACAACATTGGGAATCACTAGGACGTGTTTCCTCAAGACACCTGCTGTCACTGTTTACCTATCAGTCAGCAGGTACTTGGGTGTTAGTCACCTTACAAACCTGTTGTCACTGTTCACCCAGCAGTAAGTAGGTACCTGGGTGTTAGCAGACTGGTGTGGGTGGCATCCTGGGGACATAACCAGGGACTTTATATATAGTATGTCACTGGTGTCAGCTATGGTCTGTATAAGTTGTAACAAAGATTATAATTATTAAAATTACTTATTGTAGAAACACTTCGTCAGTCAGTGGCTTCTCCAGTCCAATACAGAGAAGAACGATGGTAAGAGGAGTTTGAGGTAATCAGTCCCTCAACCTCGAACCAATGTATTCAGACCATCAGTCTCAAGGTACTTGTTGTTTAAGTGTCACATTCTGTTTCAAGTGTAAGAGACTCAAGCCTTATCATCCTGCCGCAGTCCACCAACTCATCGAAATCGTAGCAGTACAGTTGTAAACAAAATCAACATGAACGGGGAGGGGATCAACTCGAGGCAAGCGAGACGTAAACCTCAGAGCCAGTGTGTTAACAGTGGTTAAGAACAACCCAGGTTTCAGAGTTTAAGGTCACCCCTTGTCAATGGGTTTCAAGCCGTCCCGTTCGTGACTTCAAGGCCCTCCCACTTGATCTTTCAGACTTCTGTATGAACCCATCCAGTGTGATGGAAAATGACAGAGAACCATCTCTCCGTGTATGGGAATATGACAGGGAACCATCCAATTGTGATGGAATATACAGGGAAACACCGCCTGTGTGATGGAATATGACAGGGAACCATCCTGTGTGATGGAATATGACAGGGAACCATCCTGTATGTTGGAATATGACAGGGAACACCTCCTGTGTGATGGAATATGACAGGGAACCATCCAGTGTGATGGAATATGACAGGGAACACCTCCTGTGTGATGGAATATGACAGGGAAACCATCCTGTGTGATGGAAGTTGACAGAAACACCTCCTTTTGATGGAATATGACAGGGAACCATCCTGTGTGATGGAATAGACAGGAACCATCCTTTGTTTGGAAATATGACAGGGAACAACCTCCTGTTGATGGACTATTACAGGGAGCCAGCCATGTGATGGAATATGACAGGAACACCTCCGTGTGATGGAATATGAACAGGGAACACCCTGTGTGATGGAATATGACATGGAACCATACTGTGTATGGAATTATGACCAGGGAACCCATCCTGTGTGAGGAATATGACAGGGAACACCTCCTGTGTGATGGAATATGAACAGGGAACGTCCTGTGTGAGGGAAATATGACAGGGTCCCATCCAGTGTGTTTGGAATTTGACAGGAACACCGCCTGTGTGATGGAATGACAGGGAACCTCCTGTGTGATGGAATATGACAGGGAACCGTCCGAAATGAGGAAAATGACAGGGAAACCAATCCTGTGTGATGGAATTGAACAGGGACACCTCCTGTGTGACGGAATAATACAGGTAACCATCCTGTGTGTTTGAATATTGACGGAGAACCATCCTGTGTGCTGGAATATGATAGGGAACCGTCCGTGTGTGATGGAATATGACAGGGAACCATCCTGTTGATGAATATGACACGGAACCGTCCTGTTATGATTATGACAGGGAACCATCCCCTGTGTGTTTGGAATAGGACAGGGAACAACCTCCGGTGTTCTGAATATGGGGGAAAAAAAAAAAAACAAAACAGTGGGAACTCCAACCTGTTGAAGGAATATGACAGGAACCCGTCCCTGTGTGATGGAATATGACAAGGCAATCCCATACCTGTGTGATGAATATGACAGGGCGCCACCTCCTGTGTGACGAATATGAAACAGGGAACCATCCTGGAGTTGGCATAGACAGGAACACTCCTGTGTGACGAATATGACAGGAACCATCCTGTGTATGAATTGACTGGGAACACCTCCTGTGTGACTGGAATAATGACAGGGAACCATCCAGCGTGATGGAATATGACCAGGGAACCATCCGTGTGATGAATAGACAGGGAACACCTCCTGGGTGATGGACTAAACAGGGAACCATCCTTGTGATGGAATATGACATAAACATCCTGGTGATGAATAGAAAACAGGGAACCATCCAGTGGTGATGAAAATATGACAGGATCCACCCTGTGTGATGGGAATATGACACGGAACCATCCAGTCTGATGTAATATGACAGGAACCATACTGGTGTGATGAATATGACAGGGAACCATCCTGTGTGGATGGAATATGACAGGGAACCATCCTGTGTGGATGGAATATGCAGGGACCCATCGGTTGATGGAATAGACAGGGAACCATCCTGTGTGATGGAATATGACAGAAAACCATCCTGTGGTCTGAAGAATAAGACAGGGAACCATCCCTGTGGATGCAATATGACAGGGAACCATCCTGTGTGATGGAATATGACATGGAACCATCCAGTGTGATGGAATATGACAGGGAACCCAACCGTTGAAGGAATAGACAGGAACCATCCTGTGTGAATGAATATGACAGGAACCATCTGTGGATGTAATATGACAGGAACCATCCTGTTGATGGAATAATGACAGGGACCCATCCTGTGTGATGGAATATGACAGGGCACCATCCCGTGTGATGGAATATGACAGGGAACCATCCTGTGTGATGGAATATACAGGGAACATCCTGTGTGATGAATCTACAGGGAACCAACCTTGTGATGAATTTGACAGGAAATCCCCCATCCAGGTGATGGAATTGACAGGGAACCATCCTGTGAGAAGAATATGACAGCGACACCAATCCTGTGTGATGGAATAAGGCAAGAACCATCCTGTGTGATGGAATATACAGGGAACCATCCAGTGTGATGGAATATGACAGGGGAACCATCTGTGTGATGGAATATACAGGGAACATCCAGTGTGATGGAATATGACCAGGGAACCTCCTGTGGGTGATGGATATACAGGGACCCATCCTGTGTGATTGGAATATGACAGGAACCATGAAAAGGTTAGGATATAGGCATGAGAGACCATTCAGTGGGAGTCAACTAGCCCGGGAAATGCAATGCAACACATGGCACGTGCTGATAATATTTGATTTGATTGGCTGTTTGGCAGTCACTACTGACATCTTGTAGTACTAGGAAGCGTTAATGGCCCTAGAGGGGTAGAACAGGTGCAGAACACGACTGCTAAGAACTCTATAAAATTCTCTGTGCCTTGCTCTAGGATATAAGCATCTGTTTTCCGGGCTTGTCCGCTGGTTTTGCGTAAAGTGATGATTCTGTACTGGTCTCTGGATTCTGGTCAACATCTTCCAATTTCTGTATTGGCTCTGATCTAGGTCAAGCATCGTGTCCAGTTTTCTGTATTGGTCTCGGTACTGGGTCAAGCATCTGTCCATGTTTGCTTAATTGGTCTCTGTATCTGTCAAGCTCTGTCCAAGTGTCTGGTATGGTCTCTGTATCTGGGTCATGCATCGGTCCATGTTTCTGGAGTGTCTCGGTATCTGGGTCAAGCATCTGTCCAAGGGTTCTTGTATTGGATCTGTAGCTGGTCAAGCACTGGCCATGTTTCTGTAGTGGCTCTGTATCTGGGTCAGGCATTTGTCCAATGTTTTCTGTAGTGGTCTCTGTATCGTGGGTCAAGCATCTGTCCCAAGTTTTCTTGTATTGGGCGCTGGAGCTGGGTCAAGCGCTTGCCCATCTTTTCGTCCCTGTGTTTGGGGATAAACATCTTCGTTTTCCCCATTGGTTCCTGTAATTGTAGGAGACAAAAACAGCTGCCAGACTTCGTTTCGCCTATACAAAGAGAGCAGAGGTTGTTTCTCCTTATGGTAAACAGACATTCCTACTGTCCAGAGTGTTTGTTCACTACAAGAATGAAATGTTGACCAACGCTGGTAGTCCCTATGTTGTACTTGCCTGGTATCACGAGGTTTGGCCATGCTCTGGTAGGCCCTATGTGTCTTGCCTCTGGGAGTCCCCAATGTTGTCTTGCGCTGGTAGTCCCTATGTTCTTGCTCCTGGTAGTCCTATGTGACTTCTCTGGTATCCCGTGTTCTTGCGTCTGGTAGGCCCGATTTGTCTGCCTGGTAGTCCCTGTGTTGTCTTCTCTGTAGTCCCTATGTTGTCTGCCTGGTAGTCCCCATGTGTCTTGCTCTGGTAGTCCCTGTGTTGGTCTTGCTCTGGGAGTCCCTGTGTTGTCGTGCGTCTGTGTAGTCCCGATGTTGTCTTTTGCCTGGGAGTCCCTTCCCTGTGTTTGTCTTGCTCTGGTAGTTCCCTGTGATGTCTTGCTCTGTAGTCCCTATGTTTCTTTGCGCTGGTAGGCCCTATGGTGTCTTGCTCAGGTTATCCCTATGTTGTCTGCTCGGGTAGTCCCTGGGTTGTCTCTTGCTCTGTATCCCCTATGTTGTCTGGCTCTGGTAGTCCCCTATGTTGTCATTGCTCTGTAGTCCCTATGTTGTCTTGCTCTGTAGTACCCTGTGTTGTCTTGCCTGGTAAGTCCCCTAGGTTTGTCTTGCGCCTGGTAGTCCCCTAAGCTGTCGTGCTCTGGTAGTCCCGATGTTGTCTTGCTCTGGTAAGTCCCTGTGTAGACCCTTCTCTGGTACCCTAGTGTTTCATTGCTCTGGTATCCCTATGTGGTCCTTGCTCGTATCCCCCGATGTTGTTCTTGCCTCTGGTAAGTCCCTAGGTTGCTTGCCCTGGTAGTCCCTGTGTTATCTCTGCTCAGGGTAGTCCTATGTTGTCCTGACTCTGTAGTCCCTGTGTTGTCTGCTCTGTAGTCCCTATGTTGTCTTGCTCTGGTAGTCCCTGTGTTGTCTGGCGCTGTAGTCCCTATGTTTGTCCTTGCTCTGGTAGCCCCGATGTTTCTTGGCTCTGGTAGGGCCTTGTGTTGTCTTGCTCTGGAGTCCCGAGTTGGTTCCTTGCTCTGGTAGTCCCTGTTTGTCTTGCTCTGGTAGTCCCTATGTTGTCTTGCTCTGGTAGTCCCTGTGTTGTCTTGCTCTGGTAGTCCCTATGTTGTCCTGGCTCTGTAGTCCCTGTGTTCTTGCTCTGGTAGTCCATGTGGTGTTCTTGCTCTGGTATTCCTATGTTGGCTTGTCTGGTAGTCCCTATGTGTCTTCTCCTGGTATCCCTGTGTGGTCTTCTCTTGTAGTTCCCTGGGTTTTGGCTTTGCTCTCTGTGCCCTATGGTGCTTTCTCTGGTAGTCCCTGATGTTGTCGTCTCTGGGCTAATCCCTGAGGTTGTCGTGAGCTCTGGGAGTCCCTCGTTGCCTTGCTCTGGTAGTGACCCTCAAATGTGTCTTGCTTCTGGTAGTCCCTGGGGTTGTCTTGCGCATGGTAGTCACCCCTGTGTTGTCTTGCTCTGGTAGTGCCCGATGTTGTCTTGCTCTCGTAGTCCCTTATGGTTTCTTGCTCGGTAGTCCCCTGTGTTGTCCTTGCGCTGGTAGTCCCTGTGTTGTCTTGCGCCTGGTATTCCCTGTTGTTGTCGTGACGCCTGGTAGTTTCCTATGTTGCGTCTTGCTCTGGTATCTCCCTATTGTCTTGCCAGGTAGAGTCCCTGTGTTTCCTGCGCTAGGCTAAGTCCCTGTGTTGTCTTCTCTGGTAGTCCCTATTTGTCTTGCACTGATAGTCCCCTGGTTGGTCTTGCTCTTGGTATCCTGTGGTTCCCTTGCGCGTAGTCCCTTGGTGCCTACTCCTGTAGTCCCTATGTTTCTGGCTCGGTATCCCTGTTTTCCTTGCTCGGGTAGTCCCTGTGTTTTCTCTCTGGTAGTCCCTATGTTGTCTGCTCTAGTATAAACTATTTTTCTTGCGTCTGGTATCTCCCTCGTCGTTGTCTAGCTCTGGTAGTCCCGCATGTGGTGTCTTGCTCTGTAAGTCCCCTGTGTTGTCCTTTCTCTGGTGTCCCTGTGTCTTGCTCTGGTATTCCCTGTGGTTCTTCCGGTAGTACCTGCGTTGCTTTCTCCTGGTAGTCCCTATGTTTGTCTGCGACTCTGTGTATCCCTGTGATTGTCTTGCTCTGGTAGGCCCGGGTTGGCTTGCTCTGGTAGGCCCTTTTGTCTTCTCTGGTATCCCTGTGATGTCCGTGCTCTGTAGTCCCTATGTTGTCTTTCTCTGGTATCCCTTGTTGTCCCTGACTCCTGGGAAAGTCCCTGGGTTGTCTTGGCTCTGGTAGTCCTATGTTTTCGACTCGGGTAGTCCCTGTTGTTGTCTGCTCTGGTATCCCTATGTTGTCTGACTCTGTAGTCCCCTGTGATGACCTGCTCTGTATCCCCTTGATGTCCTTGCTCTGGATAGTCCCTGTGATGTCTTGCTCGGGTAGTCCCCTGTGTTGTCTTGCTCTGGTAGTCCCCTGTGGTATTTGTCTTCCCTGGTCTAGTCCCTGTGATGTCTTTGCTCTGGTAGTCCCTGTGTTTGTCCTGCCTGGTAAGTCCCTGTGATGTCTGCTCTGGTAGTCCCATGTGTTTCTTGCTCTGGTAGTCCTGTGTTGTCATTCTCAGGTAGTACCCCCCCTGTGTTGTCTTGCTCTGGTAGTACCCTGTGATGTTCCCTAGCTCTGGTCGTCCCTGTGGTGTCCTTGCTCTGGTAGTCCCTGTGTTGTCCTTGCTCTGTATCACCCTGTGTTGTCTTGCTCGGGAGTCGCGGTGATGGTCCTTTGCTCTGGTAGTCCCTGTGTTGTCTTGCTCTGGTAGTCCCTGTGTTGTCTTGCTCTGGTAGTCCCTGTGTTGTCTTGCTCTGGTAGTCCCTGTGTTGTCTTTCTCTGGTAGTCCCTGTGTTTCTTGCTCTGGTATCCCTGTGATGTCCTTGCTCTGTAAGTCCATGTTGTCTTGCTCTGTAGTCCCTGTGATTCTTGGCTCCTGGTAGTCCCGGTGTTGTCTTGCTCTGGTAGTCCCTGTGTTGTCTTGCTCTGGTAGTCCCTATGTTGTCTGACTCTGGTAGTCCCTGTGTTGTCTTGCTCTGGTAGTCCCTGTGTTGTCTTGCTCTGAATAGTTCCACTGTGTTTGTCTTGCTCTGTAGTCCCTATGTTGTCTGACTCGGTAGTCCCAATGTTTTGTCTTGCCTGGTAGTTCCCTGCGGTGTCTTTCTCAAGGTAGTCCTATATACATGAGAGGTGTGCATATCTCAGTGTATATACACTGAGAGGTGTGTGTATATCTCAGTGTATATACACTGAGAGGTGTGTATATCTCAGTGTATATACACTGAGGTGTATATCTCAGTGTATATACACTGAGAGGTGTATATCGCAGTGTATATACACTGAGAGGTGTGTATATCTCAGTGTATATACACTGAGGTGTATATCTCAGTGTATATACACTGAGAGGTGTATATCTCAGTGTATATACACTGAGAGGTGTATATCTCAGTGTATATACACTATACACAACCCTTATGTAGGAGAGAGAAATTTACAACAACGTTCCGGTCCAGTTTGGATCATTTACAAAGTCGCATTTACCAAGTCACACTAACACAAGTCGGTCCAGGTCGGACGCAAACGTTGTGGTCAGCTCCTCTCTCCTGTGCCTGGAACAATACACGTAAGAATACACGTCCTCTCTCCTGTGCCTGGAACAATACACGTAAGAATACACGTCCTCTCTCCTGTGCCTGGAACAATACACGTAAGAATACACGTCCTCTCTCCTGTGCCTGGAACAATACACGTAAGAATACACGTCCTCTCTCCTGTGCCTGGAACAATACACAATATGGATCTTTAAGAGTGGAACCAGAGTAACCAGAGGGTGTGTCTCACGATGTCGTTATGACACGATTGTAAACAAACCATACTACAGGTGGGGTTAGAACCCGAGATCAGAGAGTCATAAGGCGTCGGTCTGGAGTTTTATGACTCTCTGAACGTGGGTTCTAACCCCGCCTGTGGTGTGGTTAGAGAGTGTGCTCTTACTGACGACTCTGAGAGGAACTTATACGATACAAGGTTCATGGAAAAATGGAAAAACATTATTTAGGGAGAACTTTTGTTGAAGACTATGGCACTTGGGTGTCTTGTGGAAACATTTCGCCAACCAGTGGCTTCTTCAGTCCAATACAGAGGAGAATTTTGAGGTTATCAGTCCCTCAGCCTGGAGTCGATCTTGAGACTGATGGAGTGAACTCGTCGACTCCAGGCTCAGGCTCAGGGACTGTTTATCTTAAACTCCTCATCTTCCGCCATTTTTCTCTGTATTGTACTAAAGAAGCTACTGACTGGCGAAACGTTTCCACAAAATAGATTTCCAAATGTTGAACAGATATCTTATTCTTCAGCTTGTCAGGTTTCTGAACCATTTATATCAGAGGTTTTATTGATGAAGTAAGTGAGGGGGGGAAACATCGAAGAGAAAGCTACAACGTTTCACTCTGTTTAGAGCTTCATCGTATCACTGATAAAGCTCTATACAGAGAGAAACGTCGTCCTAGAATCAAAGCTCGTTCTCCCAACCTATTTCTGTCTCTCTGTCTGTCTGTTTCATTTCTCAAGCTGAAAACAGAGGTGGACTGAGATGTTTCACCCTGCACTTAGAAGCAGCTGCCTTAAACCCGACGATAAACACATAAAACGTTACCTTGGATATAGTGGCCAGTATCCGTCGAGGCGTCTACTAAGGTGGGAGGCTTCAAAGTCGTTTCTTCTGGAGGTGGCCGGAGGCTCTCAGGAGCGGGCAAAACGTTCACCTGAGCAGGAAGCCCTTGGGGTTCAGCCTTTTCCAGGGCAGGGTGAGCTGTCTTCAGAGGTGGATCTGTCTTAAGCGTTGGCTTGCTTTCACCCTGCGTTATAGACAGGAGAAATAAAGGGAGTACAAGATAGATATCAAAGGACTTTGAGGTCCACACGAAGACTATCTACTAAGAAAAGTTTTTTACTATTGTCTAGATTAAGAACTATTGTGCATTATCTTGATGTCTGAGGTAAAGATAGTTAAGTAGAAGGCTCTCATCAACATTATCTTGATGTCTGAGGTAAAGATAGTTAAGTAGAAGGCTCTCAACAACAAGTAGAGAGTGAAAGTACGATACCTGGAGTATACCTGGAAGGGGTTTTGGGGGTCAACGCCCCTGCAGTCAGGTCCATGACCAGGCCTCGTGGTGGATCAGGAACTAATCAACCAGGCTGGTACTGCTGGCCGCAAGTAAATTGACGTACGAATCACAACCCGGCTGGTCAGGTACCGAATTTAGGTGCCTGTCCAGCTCCCTCTTGAAAACAGACAGGGGTATTGAAGACACCAGGGGTCTTGAAGACAGCCAGGGGTCTTGAAGACAGCCAGGGGTCTTCAAGACAGCCAGGGGTCTATTGACAATCCCCTTATGCATGCTGGAAGACAGCTGATAGGAATCTCCACACAAACAAAGGAGAACAAGACAAGTTCGCCAAAGTCAGTTTCTGATCAGCTAGGCTGTGGTACCTGAGTCATAACACATACCACTATCAACAACCTGGTTGATTAGGTCATCAACCAAGAGGTTGACTTAACCGTGGTTGTGATAATCCCTAGACTCAACTACGGTTCAACGATATACATTATTCGTTGTAAATCTGGAGGCTCGATCCTCCGACACAGTATGGAGTCACAGCCTACCTTGATGGCTCCCCAGATCTTCATCATGAAGGGCTGTAGCTGTGACTTGTTGAGTTCAAGGAAAGCCGCGTCAGAGTCCCCATCGTGGTCCTGGAGAGCCTTCACCACGGCTTCCCTCTTGAAGCGACCCCGGGCGTAGATGTCGTTGAACTGTGAGAGGAGAGATTTATAGCAGTGAGTCGTCATGAACTAGCAGTGTTCAGCAGGAACTAGCGGTGGTTTACCACAAACTAGCAGTGGTTCACCAAGAACTAGTGGTGATTCAGCAGGAACTAGCAGTGGTTTACCACAAACTAGCAGTGGTTCACCAAGAACTAGTGGTGATTCAGCAGGAACTAGCAGTGGTTTGCCACAAACTAGTAGTGGTTCACTACGAACTAGCGGTGATTTGCCACGAACCTTATCACGATGTGTTGGTCCTCTCTAGACCACTGTCAAACCTGGCAGTGGTGCAGCATGGACCGAAGCTTCGTTATAGGGGTCCCTTTTGAGCATCCATTTGCGGCGAATTGCTACAGCCACGGTATTGTGACTATCATATTCTTCTGTATTTATTTTTATCAACTAGAAGGAAGGTAGGTAGGTAAAGTTTGTCAGGAAACAGGGCAAGTGTTTCCTGATGCGGGTCTTGGTCATACGATGACCCACAGCTGGAGCTTTGGGTCATCTGACCGAGGCCTTCCGCTGGCTTACCCCTCCATCCCATTAAAAATTAAGATTGTCATTTGACAATAGTAGTAGTTCCTGCAATGTTGCACCTTGAAAGAGTACATCAATGTGCCGAAACTTTAATCAGTTACATTTCTGAGAGTCACTTAAATTGTATTGTTGATAAGACAGTTGTTGAACAAATGATGGTGAATGTGTTTACTTTTATGGACAAAATATAGTAAAGTGCATCTAAGTATGTGACTCTGTGGGTACCAAGGATAGATTCTGTGGCATCTTGTTCCACTCACCTTGTTCTGGCGCTGCTCCACACACTCGGTGACAGCCGCCCAAATGTTTCCCTTGTGTAGTCTGAGGGCGACACGAGCCTCGGCTGCTGTTATAGAGCCGATGTCATTAACTCTACGCTCCTGGCCATAGTTGGTAGCCAAGGTGGAGACGGTGTCTACCATGTGTCTCCAGTTCTCCTTCAACCACTCCAGCGGGTTCTTGTCTCCACAGTGAGTTAGAGCTATGGACACATCTTCCGAAGTGAAGCCTGCATCTTCAGCGTCCTGAAGAAAGTGTATTTTGTTTCTGGTATGCCCAAATTCAAGTCGTGATGAACGATTATATGAATAATCAGGAGAATGGACTGGAGACCCGATGTGAGTCTAGCCCTCGTCCATTTATTTGGGTATAGAGTATGGACCCACAAATACATCACCTACTTTCTGTGTTCCTCGTTTTCGTTTGCTCTTAACTGACCCACTGTTCACTATGTTCCACTCAATGATCATTATCACCAGCAGGTGGAACATAATGACCAATGATTCAATTTAAAAGCCAACAAAAACATGGAACACTATAAAAAGAGTGCTGTATATGCAGGGCATTCCTGTTTTTGTTCACAAGAGCAAAAATTGAAGAGAAATGAGCACAATGAATAACTAAAATGTAATTAACACCTGTCAATGCCTAATAATAACCCACACATAGACAGAAACTCAGAAGATTAATTGATCAGTATATTTTGACCCGTGTTCTGGGATCCTCTTCAGCAGATTGGCTGACGAGGATCCCAGAAGCGAGTCGAAATATACAGATTAATTAATCTCCTAAGTTTCTGTCTCCATGTGGGTTATTATTGAGCAATAAGCACAATGTTTATGCTAGACATTGTGGCAGGAGACTGTATTGGCAAGGGTGTGTGCCGAAAAGCACAAAATGAATCAGTGGTTGGATAACCAGCACTTAGGAGAAGATGACTTGATGATGATTCAGGATAAGGATGAATCTCTCAAGTGCTGATTTTTTGATGATTGTTCCAGCCATGGTATGGCGACTTTTTTATCTTGAATTGAAATTGATAAATCAGACACATGTCCAATACTTGTCTCTTATTCATCAACTCATCAATATTCTCTACCATCAACAATACTATTGAAACATAATATTTAACCCCGTCTTACAAAATTGTTAACTCTAGTATCTAAAGTATCTTGCCTCATGGTTAAGCTATAAACAGTGAAATGTTGTCCAGTAGAAGCTGGGATATACAGCTTCTTCTCACTTAATGATGGAGTTAAGATAAGATAAGATAAGATGTCGTTCGGATTTTTAACCCCGGAGGGTTAGCCACCCAGGATAACCCAAGAAAGTCAGTGCGTCATCGAGGACTGTCTAACTTATTTCCATTGGGGTCCTTAATCTTGTCCCCCAGGATGCGACCCACACCAGTCGACTAACACCCAGGTACCTATTTGCTGCTAGGTGAACAGGACAACAGTTGTAAGGAAACGTGTCGAATGTTTCCACCCGCCGGGAATCGACCCGGGCCTCGTGTGTGAAGCGGGAGCTTTAGCCACCAGGCCACCGGGCCATTCCTAAGACCATGTCGGTAAACAAATTCATCTATAATGGTAGTGGGTTTGTGTCACCTATCTCTGATATTGTTTTAATGTCACCTTTGCACCATTTATAACATTTCTAGTATATTTTTAAATGTTTATACAGCAGTGTTCTGTATAATGTAATAAACAGAATAGTGGAAATCAGCTCTAATATACATTATTTAGGTATGAATACTGGTCAGAGAGCCTGTCTTAAGTCCGAGTCATCGGTAAACGAGTACGTCGCTAAGTGAGGAGAGGCTGTACAGGAAAAGATGGAGATATTCAGGAATCCTGGAATATTTAGTATCAAGACACAGATGCTCTACCTATTATGGGATTTTTAAAAATTATATTTGAGTATAATTTTTTATGATTAATTTAAATTTGAATAACTGAAAAACATATTTTTGAGTTATTTTACCCCCCTGAGAGTATTTTAAATGAGTGGGAGATACTCAGGTTCGAATCCTTGGAAGGAGAGAGCAACTCTGATCCCCTGGATCAAGAGCTCTTCATCCTTATCAAAGCACGTCCCTAGGAGAGTCTGTGAGAGGGCAAACTGACGTACCCGAAGAACTTGCACCAGTTGGAGTCCCTGAGTCCTCATGGCCTCCAGCCTCCGTCTGGTGATGAGTTCCTCCACTGTGAGGTACCTCTCGTTCACCTCCTGCTGCTGCTGCTGCTGCTGCTGCTGCTGCTTGCTGAAGCCTCTTCTGTATCTCCATCTGTCCCAGAAAGAAACAAAACTACAAAATCTCAGAATGAATCACTATAGTTACATATTAATTTTTCACTTTATAAACCATCAACAAGGAACACATCTCTTAAGTTATCTTAAGTTCACTTCATATATCATCAGCCTAGAACACATCCCTGTTTTATATATTATCTTATGTTGACTTTATATGCATCAACAAGGAACACATCCCTATGTTTTATATGTCATCTTATGTTCACTTTATATATCATCAATCTGGAACAAATCCCTATGTTTTATATGCCACCTTAAGTTCACTTTATATATCATCAGCCTGGAACACATCCCTATGTTTTATATGCCACCTTAAGTTCACTTCATATATCATCAGTCTGGAACACATCCCTGTTTTATATATTATCTTATGTTGACTTTAAATGCATCAACAAGGAACACATCCCTATGTTTTATATGCCACCTTAAGTTCACTTCATATATCATCAGCCTGGAACACATCCCTGTTTTATATATTATCTTATGTTGACTTTAAATGCATCAACAAGGAACACATCCCTATGTTTTATATGCCACCTTAAGTTCACTTTATATATCATCAGCCTGGAATACATCCCTATGTTTTATATGTAATGTAAAGTTCACTTTACATAGCATCATCCAGGAACACATCTTTCGCACGAAGTGAGCGACAGTTATTAAGATTATTGTAATGATTGAAAATCACTAAACTCATGTGAAGTAATGAAGTTTGATCCATGGAAGGGTAGCTCTAATTTCTTGGGTCAAGGGCCTGCCTGGAAGGATATAGATTACCATAAGCCAGTACTACCTATATCTGACTGAACCTAATTTCTGACTGAATGTAACTAACCACAGAACAGGTAGGGTTTGAACCTATGGCAAATGAGTCATAAAATTCCAGGTCAATGCATTAACTACAAGGCCAGCTGGCTACAGTAAAATTCATCCAACTACAAATATTTATACACCCTAGGGGGGTTAGCATGGGCCACTACTGTGACCACCTTCATACTTCAGCCCATTCTCTGATACTCTTCTACCCTTGCTTGACACAGGGGGTGGGGGTAGTTGTGGTAGTAGTTGTGATTATGGTATGGAAGAGTGGTAGTGGTGGTGGTGGACAATATACATATGTATATATGTATGTATATATATATATATATATATAATATATATATATATATATATATATATATATATATATATATATATATATATATATATATATATATATAATATATATATATATAGGTAGTAGGTTGGTAGACAACAACCACCCAGGGAGGTACTACCATCCTGCCAAGTGAGTGTAAAACGGAAACCTGTAATTGTTTTACATGATGGTAGGATTGCTGGTGTCCATTTTTCTGTCTCATAAACATGCAAGGTTTCAGGTACGTCTTTCTACTTCTACTTACACTTAGGTCACACTACACATACATGTACAAGCATATATGTATATACACACCCCTCTGGGTTTTCTTCTATTTTTCTTACTAGTTCTTGTTCTTGTTTATTTCCTCTTACCTCCATGGGGAAGTGGAACAGAATTCTTCCTCCTTAAGCCATGTGTGTTGTAAGAGGCGACTAAAATGCCGGGAGCAAGGGGCTAGTAACCTCTTCTCCTGTATAATATATAAATGTAAAAGGAGAAACTTTCGTTTTTTCTTTTGGGCCACCCCACCTCGGTGGGATACGGCCGGTGTGTTGAAAGAAAGAAAGATATATATATATATATATATATATATATATATATATACGGAATACCTTGTTGGAGGCTGAGTACTCAAGATCATTATCTCCTGATGGGGCGAGAGCATCTTGGAAGCTCAAAGACTCGTATCCATCTGTGTATAAGGTACAAGCAGTAGCAGCATCAGCAGCAGCAGCAGTAAGACCAGCAGTAGGATCAGTGGCAGGAGCAGAAGCAGAAGCCATTGGAGAGGTGGTAGCATAGTCAGTAAGAGGCCCTCCTGAGGTAGGTCTATTTTCCTCAGTGCCAGCCACCTCCCCGAGAGGCACTGCTGCCTATTAGTACATGGGATGAGCAGTGTTAGCACTGTACACTGTACTAGTGTATAAGTTGTATCATGTACTTAAAAAAATAAAGATTATTATTATGATTATTACTAAAACTACATAAATTATCACAACAAAACACTATAATATCGATTATTTAACAAATAAAATTGAGACCAAAATAATTGCAACTAATCTCAGGTACAAGCAAACAAAATTATACTTATACAGTGGAATCTCAAATTTCAAACGTATTATTTATCGAACTCTTCGAAAATCGATCACTTTTTCAAACCAACTTTGTCCCTATCAATGAACTTGCCCCTATTTTTGAATCGCTGGGTACCGGACCTGTCCGCCTTCTTCAAAGAGTAAGAAAATTTGCGCCAAGTGGAATGATGTCCAAATGTTTGTGGAGAAGTACCACCCTGAGCAAGCTGAAACAAGCCATCTTTGCAACAAGTTCAGTGAGAAAACCATGTCCCATTTTAGGGGAATCTTAAAGAGGCACCAGAAACAGAGGACTGTGGACAGTTATTTTGTGAGACAGGGGTCCAGTGACTCTCAAGCTGATCCTAGTGGTATTAAAAGACAGAGAAGGGAAGTAGCCCCAGAGAGGGCTTTGATACCCAAAGTCCTTATGGAGGGGGATGTCCCATCCAAACACTAACCCCAACTCCCTCTCTCCTCCTCCCTATCTTCCAGATGCTATCACCAATCATCAATGAAGGTAAGTAAAAATGTTATTTTATATGTTTATTTAAATTTATTAACTGGACCTGGAGTTTACCCGGAGAGAGTTCCGGGGGTCAATGCCCACGTGGCCCGGTCTGTGACCATGCCTCATGGTGGATCAGGGTCTGATCAACCAAGCTGTTACAGCTGGCTGTATGCAATCCAACGTACGAACCACAGCCTGGCTGTGTGTGTGTGTGTAAAACTATACCTAATCTCTATAAAATATATATTTTGTGTGAATATTTTTGGTTTCTGGAACGGATTAATTGCATTTCCATTATTTCTTATGGGAAATATTGCTTCACTTTTCAAACTTTTCGAATTTACAACTAACTCCTGGAACGGAATAAGTTCGAAATTTGAGGTTCCACTGTAATTGATTATTAAATAATTTAATATATAATAATCTCTGCCAAATAAAGATTATTTAATGAACATAAGCTGCAGCAGCCAAATTACGAAACATAACAGCAAAAAAAAATGTGAATTTAAATTGATTTGTATTTTTTTATATCAACTTGTCCCTTTGCGTTTTCTTAAAGAGTTCCTTACCCGTCAGGGCTCCTTAAAGCAGACCATACAGACATCTATAAGAGAAGACCTTAAAAAAAGTCTCTGTTTTAGGGATGACCTTAAAAAGAGTCTCTGCTTTAGGGACAACCTTAAAAGGAAGTCTCTGTTTTAGAGATTACCTTAAGAGGAGCCTCTGTTTTAGGGACGACCTTAAAAGGGGTCTCTGTTTTTGGGATGACCTTGAAACGAGTTTCTCTTCTATTGATGACTTTAAAATATGGAGTGTGTCTGTTATGACCTTAAAAACAGTCTCTGTCTGGGATGTCCTTGAAAGGGGCCTCTGTGTCTAGTGACGACCTTACTAGGAATCAGTATCAAGGACTTCCTGTGTCAGGACAGTCTTTAAAAGAACTTTCCAATGCCATGGATAGTCTTTACCAGGCTTGCAAGTGCCAGGGGTAGTTCTTAAAATTATTTCTGGTACCAGGGTAGTTGTTAAGACGACTTCTGGTTCCAGGGTAGTTGTTAAAAGGACTTCTGGTTCCAGGGAAGCTACTTAAAGGACGTCCCAGTGCCAGGGGTAATCTTTAACAGGCTTACAAGTGCCAGGAAAGTTCCTTAAAGGACTTCTGGTCTCAGGGTAGATCTCAAAAGGACTTCTAGTTCCAGGGTAGTTATTAAAAGGACTTCTAGTTCCAGGGCAGTTCTTAAAAGGACGTCCCAGTGCCAGGGGTAGTCGTTTACAGGATTTCAAAGTGAAAGGGCAGTTCTTAAAAGAACTTCTAGTTCCAGGGTAGTTCTCAAAAAATTTTGCAGTGCCAGGGTAGTAATAAAAGGACCTTCTGGTGCCAAAAGAGTTCTCCATAGGAAGACTCACCTCCTCAGAATAAGGAAGTTGCTCCATGGAAGACCTAATGGTCTCTCTGGAGGACTTGAGATCTTCCAGGGACTGCTGCATGGTCTCCAGTGCCGTCACCAAGTACTCCTCTTCCAGTGCCACCACTGTCTGTACCACACACACTGTTTATGGCACTTGTGCCACCACTGTCTTTACTACACACACTCTTTCTCACACACACACACACACACATATATATATATATATATATATATATATATATATATATATATATATATATATATATATATATATATATATATATATATATATATATATATATATATATATAATATGCAGCAGTTATATATTATTATTATTATTATAATTATTATTATTATTATAATATTATTATTATTATTATTATTATTATTATTATTATTATTAGATTGCATATTATATTATTATTATTATTATTATATTATTATTATTATTATTATTATTATTATTATTATTATTATTATTGCTATTGTTAAGGGGAAACACTGAACCCAAAGAGTCATAGAGATCAGTGGCTGTGTTTGATCCGAGTAAGGGAAAGTCAGCTCTGATTCTTTGGATCAAGAACCTCTCACCGGTATCAAAAGGAGAACAATATACATACCTGTTGTACCCAGGAGAGAAATTGGGAGTGTGTGGGTACGTATATTGTACCTAGGAATGAAATTGGGAGTGTGTGGGTACGTATATTGTACCCAGGAGTGAAATTGGGAGTGAGTGGGTACGTATCTTGTGTCCAGGAGTGAAAAATGGGAGTGTGTGGGCACGTATATTGTACCCAGGAGTGAAATTGGGAGTGAGTGGGTACGTATCTTGTGTCCAGGAGTGAAACTGGGAGTGTGTGGGTACGTATATTGTACCTAGGAATGAAATTGGGAGTGTGTGGGTATGTATATTGTACCCAGGAATGAAATTGGGAGTGTGTGGGTACGTATATTGTACCTAGGAATGAAATTGGGAGTGTGTGGGTATGTATATTGTACCCAGGAATGAAATTGGGAGTGTGTGGGTACGTATCTTGTGTCCAGGAGTGAAAATGGGAGTGTGTGGGCACGTCTATTGTACCCAGGAGTGAAACTGGGAGTGTGTGGGCACGTATCTTGTGTCCAGGAGTGAAACTGGGAGTGTGTGGGCACGTATATTGTACCCAGGAGTGAAACTGGGAGTGTGTGGGTACGTATCTTGTGTCCAGGAGTGAAAATGGGAGTGTGTGGGCACGTATATTGTACCCAGGAGTGAAACTGGGAGTGTGTGGGCACGTATCTTGTGTCCAGGAGTGAAACTGGGAGTGTGTGGGCACGTATCTTGTGGCCAGGAGTGAAACTGGGAGTGTTTGGGCACGTATATTGTACCCAGGAGTGAAACTGGGAGTGTGTGGGCACGTATCTTGTGTCCAGGAGTGAAACTGGGAGTGTGTGGGCACGTATATTGTACCTAGGAATGAAATTGGGAGTGTGTGGGAACGTATATTGTACCCAGGAATGAAATTGGGAGTGTGTGGGTACGTATCGTGTCCAGGAGTGAAACTGGGAGTGTGTGGGCACGTATATTGTACCCAGGAGTGAAACTGGGAGTGTGTGGGCACGTATCTTGTGTCCAGGAGTGAATCTGGGAGTGTGTGGGCACGTATATTGTACCCAGGAGTGAAACTGGGAGTGTGTATACCCCTCTGCAGGGGTATACATAATCCCTTGTAATGACTGCAACAAGTTATACGTGGGCGAAACATCAAGGGACCTCCAAACACGTATTTCAGAACACCAATACGCAAGCAGGTCTGACGACACAAGGAATGCCTGCGTACAACACCGTAATTCACACAACCACTTGATAAACTACAGAAACTCAAGACTTATCGCCACAGAAGACAACACTCAATACCGAAGAATCCTGGAATCATCACTTATTTCTATATCCGACAACTTCAACCAGAATAGTGGCTTCTATAACATAGCTGAACCACTTGCCAAGAAACTTCTTCATCGCTATCCCACATAAGAACACTGTAGAAGGTCTGCTCACAAACTTGTCCAGTCTCCTTTCCAAGCTACCCAAGTTTTTAGACTCTACAACCCAACTCGGTACATCATCAGATGCAGCATTCTTCACCTGACCTCAGCCGGACTATAAATACTCGCGTTCCTTCCACCCCAGGTAGTTCTGTTTGTGACTTGAAAAAGCCCACTGTGTGGGCGAAACGTAGTCAATAAAGGATCACATTATACTGCATTTGTGTTTATATTGCCACGTATATTGTACCCAGGAGTGAAATTGGGAGTTTGTGGGTACGTATCTTGTGTCCAGGAGTGAAATTGGGAGTGTGTGGGCACGTATCTTGTACCCAGGAATGAAATTGGGAGTGTGTGGGCACGTATCTTGTGTCCAGGAGTGAAACTGGGAGTGTGTGGGCACGTATATTGTACCCAGGAGTGAAACTGGGAGTGTGTGGGCACGTATATTGTACCCAGGAGTGAAACTGGGAGTGTGTGGGCACGTATCTTGTGTCCAGGAGTGAAACTGGGAGTGTGTGGGCACGTATATTGTACCCAGGAGTGAAACTGGGAGTGTGTGGGCACGTATATTGTACCCAGGAGTGAAATTGAGAGTGTGTGGGTACGTATCTTGTGTCCAGGAGTGAAATTGGGAGTGTGTGGGCACGTATTTTGTACCCAGGAATGAAATTGGGAGTGTGTGGGCACGTATCTTGTGTCCAGGAGTGAAACTGGGAGTGTGTGGGCACGTATATTGTACCCAGGAGTAAAACTGGGAGTGTGTGGGCACGTATCTTGTGTCCAGGAGTGAAACTGGGAGTGTGTGGGCACGTATATTGTACCCAGGAGTGAAACTGGGAGTGTGTGGGCACGTATATTGTACCCAGGAGTGAAACTGGGAGTGTGTGGGCACGTATCTTGTGTCCAGGAGTGAAACTAGGAGTGTGTGAGCACGTATATTGTACCCAGGAGTGAAACTGGGAGTGTGTGGGCACGTATATTGTACCCAGGAGTGAAATTGGGAATTTGTGGGTACGTATCTTGTGTCCAGGAGTGAAATTGGGAGTGTGTGGGCACGTATCTTGTACCCAGGAATGAAATTGGGAGTGTGTGGGCACGTATCTTGTGTCCAGGAGTGAAACTGGGAGTGTGTGGGCACGTATATTGTACCCAGGAGTGAAACTGGGAGTGTGTGGGCACGTATCTTGTGTCCAGGAGTGAAACTGGGAGTGTGTGGGCACGTATATTGTACCCAGGAGTGAAACTGGGAGTGTGTGGGCACGTATATTGTACCCAGGAGTGAAATTGAGAGTGTGTGGGTACGTATCTTGTGTCCAAGAGTGAAATTGGGAGTGTGTGGGCACGTATCTTGTACCCAGGAATGAAATTGGGAGTGTGTGGGCACGTATCTTGTGTCCAGGAGTGAAACTGGGAGTGTGTGGGCACGTATATTGTACCCAGGAGTAAAACTGGGAGTGTGTGTGCACGTATCTTGTGTCCAGGAGTGAAATTGGGAGTGTGTGGGCACGTATATTGTACCCAGGAGTGAAATTGGGAGTGTGTGGGTACGTATCTTGGGTCCAGGAGTGAAATTGGGAGTGCGTGGGCACGTATCTTGTACCCAGGAATGAAATTGGGAGTGTGTGGGCACGTATCTTGTACCCAGGAATGAAATTGGGAGTGTGTGGGTACGTATCTTGTGTCCAGGAGTGAAACTGGGAGTGTGTGGGCACGTATATTGTACCCAGGAATGAAACTGGGAGTGTGTGGGCACGTATATTGTGTCCAGGAGTGAAACTGGGAGTGTGTGGGCACGTATATTGTACCCAGGAGTGAAACTGGGAGTGTGTGGGCACGTATATTGTACCCAGGAGTGAAATTGGGAGTGTGTGGGTACGTATCTTGTGTCCAGGAGTGAAATTGGGAGTGTGTGGGCACTTATCTTGTACCCAGGAATGAAATTGGGAGTGTGTGGGCACGTATCTTGTGTCCAGGAGTGAAACTGGGAGTGTGTGGGCACGTATCTTGTGTCCAGGAGTGAAATTGGGAGTGTGTGGGTACGTATATTGTGCCGTTATTGTGTGCGCATTCATCTAACTGTGGTTGCAGGGGTCGAGTCATGGCTCCTGGCCCGTGTGTGTGTGTGTTTACCTGGAGTTTACCTGGAGAGAGTTCCGGGGGTCAAAACCCCCGTCTAATTGCATATGCAATTCATTATTATTATTATAATTATTTTGGGGATGCGCTAAACCCTTAAGGATCAAAGAGCGCCTGAGGACAGGGAGGTAACGAAGTGTTTTGTACGTTCCTTGGAGGGCGAAACATCGAGAGGTCTATGTGAAAGACTTTTCTCTCTATGCAGAGGGAAACTCTTCACTCTAGCTAGAACGAAATGTCGCACATGGGAGACAGGAGCTTATGACGATGTTTGGGTCCGATTTGGATTCTTTACAAGTCACATTTGTAAATGGTCCAAGTAGGACCGAAATGTCGTCATGTGAGTCTTTCTCTGTCCTATGCGCGGGCTGTTTGTGTATTCCGCTCAGGGTATTGTGCCTTCGTGTTCTTTACGTGGTTTAGGGTGACACGTGGTCTAAGGTGACACGTGGTCTAAGGTGACACGTGGTTTAAGGTGACACGTGTTGTTAGGAAACATGTGTAGGGGATTCACCTGTAGTATGCCAGGCTGAGGTCTATCTTGAAGCTGCTCGCTGAGGGAGATGTCTGGAGAATCTGGCGGAGAGTAGAACTGGGCATCTGAGGAGGAGAAGCTAAGAGGTGTATACTGTCTGTCGGGGGGCATGGAGTTTAGCCCGAGGGAGGACCCCGAGGAGGCCGAGCGGGCCACCTCTCCACTTTGTAAATCCAAGGGTGAGATGTGTTGTCCCTTAAGTTCTTGCAGATTTTCATCCTCGGCTACTTCTACCTTCTCTTCCTCTTCCTCCTCCTCCTCCTCTTCCTTAAGGTTTGCATGTATGTATCCAGTTGATGCTGTTTCATAATTATCTTGTTCTCTGTCTGTGTCTTTCAAGACAGCCACCGGTGGAGCCTCGATGTTTACAGGCTGCTCTACTGTCTCGTAGCTAGGTTCATATAATGGTTCAGGCGGTGGTATAGCAATCTTTGCTTGCCCTGTGTTTTCTGCAACATCGATGTCAGTCTCGTCTTTGACTTCGATAGGAGACTCTGGAGTCTGTCTAGCTTGTGGTGCGCCAATGATTATCGTCTGTGGGTCATCAATTACTTGGTCTTCAGGAGTTAGGGGCCTGATATAGCTGACGACTGGTACATCGCCTTGTACCACCACTGGTAAATCAGCACTATGGGGACGCTCGTCTAAGTACTGGCTACTCAGGTCCTGATCTGCAACCTCGTTGGTTCCCATTGTGGCTATGTCATCTAGCGTGTTAGCGAAGCTGGGATCATCTCCCTCACCCCGAGACGTAAGTTGGGACAGCGCTGGGGACTTGCATTTCCCAACTTCAAGTCTAGGACTTGCAGATCTAGATTTTTCATCACTCACCTTAGGTTCAAAGATGGGAACTTGTGGTGGTTCTTCAAGAACTTGTTCTTCACCAGCAACACTGCCAACTGGACTGGAAGCTTTGGATTCCTTAGATTTACTCCGATGCTCGTTGCTATCTGATATTATCCCTGCTTTAGGAGAGGGTTCAGATACCAAAGTGTTAACTATAGTACCATCCTGAGAGTTGAGATGCTCGTTGCGCTCAGTGCTGAGAGTGTGAGAGATGCGAGCGTCCTCAGGGATGCTGCCATCAGAGCTTCCCCCGTGTGATACCTGGTCATCAGTTGGGCTGGCAAGTCTTGGCGTCTGACGCCCCGGCGTCCTTGAGCGCTCAGAGTGGTTGCGGCTGCGGTTCTTGAAGCGGCCGACGCTTCCTGTAACACACAGGAAACACGGCTTTAGGATTGTTGAGTGAAACTCACGTACAAAAGTGATGCATTTATTTATCATGATCATATCATTGCAAAATGAACATATAAAGCAGCTTAAAACTGGACATTACATACAAAGAATTACATCAAATATTACCATGAATATGCCCGTATTTATTAAAGAATTTGCTGTGATACACAGACCAGTTAATATATTTGTTCTTCAGTCCACTGCAGAACAATGTTCAATAACAATGCACACAATAAGTTCAATCTTTCCACCTAAGTTTACCTTCTTTCTTGCGTGAGGTTCTCTCCCTCTCTCTGTCTTTGTTGTTGGTTCCATCGTGGTCGCTGCCCCTCCTACGGGAGGAGGAGGACACCTTCAGGTCCCTCATGTTCCTCTCCAGCTGCAGTTCCTCCTCACCTTCACTTCCGGACTCCGACTGAGACTCTGAACCATCTCTCCGACGCGACTTTTTCTTACTTTTACTCTTGTTGGTACCGGAGACTTTGCGGTTCTCGCGTTTACTCTCCTTCACGTTGAAAGAGAAGTTACTCTTCACTATGCCGCCTCCATCGTTGTCGTAGTCGGATAAGTCCCTTTCGTTATCCTCCTGGTCGGTCCGTCTGTCCCGCCGTCTGTCGGAGCGCCTTCGTTCACTATTCCGTCGGCTGGTTCGGCTGCTGCTCCCAACAGTCTTGGAACACATTCCACACGTTCGAGCCCCGCCAGAGTTGATGAAAGTACAGTGGTCACACTGCCAGGCTAAGCTGCTCACTCCGCCATGACCTGACTTGTTATCGTCTATATCATCTTCTTCGTCACTTCCCGAAGACGATCGACTGTCTTCACTCTCCTCTGAGCGCTTGGCCTTCCGGTTGCGACTTCGACGGCCACTGGTGTCTGCGGCGCTGAAGGACCTCGATTTGCTGGACTTGTGAGATCGATGTGACGTAGAACGCACTGACGGTGCTGGAGATGATGTCACTTTACCAAAAGTATGCATCGAGTCAGGTATCGACATGTTCAAGCCCATGGGGGTACCCATGGGCGGTGGGGGCATATGTGGGTGGTAGCCAGGATAGTAGCCTGGGTACATGGGCATATGGTGATGGATGTGGGGTGGAGGGGGCGCCCATGGGTAGCCAGACATGTCACTGCCCACGGAGGAGAGGTTCATGGAGAGGTTAGAAGCAGTGCGCTTCATGCCACTCATGCCAGGGTGGGTGGTAAACATGGGTTGAGCCTGGCACAGCTCACATGGAGCTCCCCACAGCATCCCGCCCCCATAACCCATCATGTTCAGCTGCTGGAAGCTACCTGCCTGTACAGAAACAAAGAAAAAAGACCATTAGCCCCAACATCGTGTTACAGCACATTTCGGACTAATCCAAACTTGAGAAAGAAAACTTTACACGATATTTCGGTCCAGGAAGGACCGAAACGTTGCCTAAAGTTTTCACTCCAAAATGATAGTTATGAATTGTTCCAGCCACGGTATTGTGACTTCACACATTTTATCCCAGACATATATACAAGACAACACTTCACGTAATGTTCCAGCTTTCTTTTACAATCATTCAACTCATGGAGGGTTGATTGTCCATCCAGGGACAATCTGTCAGAGGAGAGCCGCGCCTGTCACCACCAGCCCATGGAGAACTGAACACAGATACACCATTAATACATCAGTGTTGCTGTTTACGTACTGGATTGGCTGTGCTGAAGGCGTGTGAAGCCTGCTGCTGTGCTAGGCTGTTTAGATCACAGACTGACGCCGAGGAATACCATGCCTCGCCCTAAGGTGTTGCCGCTACGACCGGAGCTGCTGATGCTGTTGTATCCCCGGCGGGTCGGTGCCCCAGCGAAGGCGGACATGTCCGCAGGGACGTGCCCAGGAGGACAGGTTGGACTTGAGGGCGTGCCCTGGGTGTCTGTTGTGGTGGGGGTAGTGTTGGTCTGGGCTGCCATCATCTGTGACCACTGGTCGTCGGAGACACTGTGGGATCGGGTACGTGGGGGTGGTTTGTTGTGTTCCCCTACCCAGGGGGACCCACAAGGCGTGGGTTCCGCTAGGGAAGTCTGTGGAACACATTAGTTAAGTTAGAAGGAACTCAAGGCAAGGAAGATCACACTCACTTCTGACACTCTCACGTTTAAGTTGTCTGGCCAGGGTGACACACTCGCTTAAACACACTCATTCCTCAACACACCTTAAAACACATTCCTCAACACACACATACACACATACACACACACACACAAATAATATATGAACTACCATTTTAAACACCTGAAAGAGAAGCATATGAGAGACCACCTAGACACCTGCACACTCCAGGTGTTTGTGATCTCCCTGCCAACAACTGCATTATCAGGCATTTAGAAATTAACGTGTGTTCACTTTTTGTGAGATGAGTGATGACGTGTGTGTGTGTGTACTCACCCATTTGTGGTTGCAGGGGTCGAGTCCTAGCTCCTGGCCCCCGCCTCTTCACTGGTTGCTACTGGGTTCTCTCTCTCCCTGCTCCCTGAGCTTTTTCAAACCTCGTCTTAAAACTATGTATGGTTCCTGCCTCCGCTGCGTCACTTTCTGTGTGTGTGTGTGTGTGTGTGTGTGTGTGTGTGTGTGTGTGTGTGTGTGTGTGTGTGTGTGTGTGTGTGTGTGTGTGTGTGTGTGTGTGTGTGTGTGTGTGTGTGTCTATAGCAACAGGTTCTGGTAATATCTATAATTAATGTGTGAAGATGGAGCTAAAATTCATTAAAAACAGAGTATTCTGCAGTGCAATTGGTACTAACAGCAAGTTTCTTGCGTCTGTTTCTGTTCCTTCGACGTATGACAGCAGGCAGGGAGCTGTCTGGAGTCAGGGAGTCATCACTGTAGTCCCTAGATTTCTTCACCCCTTCTTCGGTAGCCTCCTGGGGCGACTGGGCACTGCTACCCACCCCAGCGGTGCTACCAATCCTCAGCTTCACCTCCAGGATATCATCTTCGTCTCGGGCATCCTTCACTCTGCCATCCGTAATAGCCAGACGACCATTGATGAGGTGCTGCTGATCAAAGATCTCATCCTTCCAGGATGAGAGGTAACTGGGAAGGCAGCCACAGGTTGCAGATTTCTGTAGGGCCATCGGCTGGGCCTGATACCCTACGCCTGTGCCCATCTGGCCTACAGGTAGAGATAGCAAGCCATGCATGATGGGAAAAGACCCCATCTGACTATCTAGCCAGGAGGCGTTTTCAAGACTATCACAATCACGACAGTTACATGGGTACCACATTATCACCAACACCTCCGCTAGTTCACTATTCTATTGGCCCCAATGTTTATCATACTTAAACATACCTTTGTCCACTTGTATTTACATCTATATCAGCTAGTCTTTGTTTTGCAATCTCTTATGCAAATACCACCAAGACATTCTTGATGAACCAACTCTGAAATCAAGCTCTACGTCAATGTAAATATAAGCATGGAGGAACACTGCAGAAGACCTACTGGCCCATACATGGCAGATTCTCATCAAATTCAACCATTCCAACCCACGTATTTGTACCTTTTACCAAACTAACAAGACTTTACTTCAGGTACTAATCAAACCCAGCCCTTTTCACTAACATATTTGTCCAATCTCCTTTTAAAGCCAGCCAAAGTCTTAGCCTTGATTATCCTATTGTCAGTTGTTCCACGTATCAGCATAGTGATGGTAGAGACTTGAGTATGGCAGGGCAGTGCCGGATGTCCCTCAGAGACAAGCCGGCAGCCCTGGGTGCCACTCACAGCTACGTGTATGAGAGTAAATATGCTTTCTTGGCAGGCTGGCCGGCTTGCCTATCCGGGGAAGTCAACGACACAGCCAGATACAATAGCTGTTTGTGTTTTCTCATGAGGCAATAAACTATGACTAGAGTTCAACTCTAGCCTGACACAAGACAAGAAGAAGAACAAGAAGAAGAAGAAGAAGAAGAAGTTATGAATCTTGCCCAGGATGCCACCCAGTACAGTCGATTAACTCCCAGGATTGCAGTTACTGCAAGGTGAATAGGGGCAGCAGGTGTACGGTGACTTGCCGCTGCGTTTCTCCTTGCCCAAGGTAATAGCCAAATATATATATATCCAATATGTGGTGCCCAATATGTGGGCGTCCAATATGTAGTGCCTATATATATATATATATATATATATATATATATATATATATATATATATATATATATATATATATATATATATATATATATATATATATATATATATATATATATATATATATATATTAGTTGGACAGGGGTCACGTATTCCAAAGGTCACTTCTCAATCGTACAGGTGCCGGACTCACCTGTAAGCACCTGTTTATATTAAATGTTCTTGGCAACACCAGCAGTGTTGCTACACTATTCTATATGATAGTTACATTGTGGGAACACCAACAGTGTTGCTACACTATTCTATATGATAGTTACATTGTGGGAACACCAGCAGTGTTGCTACACTATTCTATATGATAGTTACATTGTGGGAACACCAGAAGTGTTGCTACACTATTCTATATGATAGTTACATTGTGGGAACACCAGCAGTGTTGCTACACTATTCTATATGATAGTTACATTGTGGGAACACCAACAGTGTTGCTACACTATTCTATATGATAGTAACATTGTGGGAACACCAGCAGTGTTGCTACACTATTCTATATGATAGTTACATTGTGGGAACACCAACGTGTTCCCACACTATTCTATATGATAGTTACATTGTGGGAAACCAGCAGGTTGTACATATTCTATATGATATTTACTTGTGGGAACACCAACGTGTTGCTTACAATTCTATATGATAGTTACATTTGGGAACACCAGCAGTGTTGCTACACTATTCTATATGATAGTTACATTGGGGAAACACCAGCAGTGTTGCTACACTATTCTATATAAAAAGTTACTTGTGAAAACAAGCAGGTTGCTACACTATTCTATATGATAGTTACATTGTGGGAACCCAGCGTGTGTTGTAACATTCTTAGATAGTTACATTGGGGAAACACCAGCGTGTTGCTACACTATTCATTGATAGTTACATTGTGGGAACACCGGTGTGTTGTTTCACTATTCTATTGATAGTAAAACATTGTGGGAACCCCAGCAGTTTTGTACACTATTTATTGATAGTTACATTGTGGGAACCCAACAGTGTTGTACATATTCTTAGAAGTTACTTTGTGGGAACACCAGCGTGTTGCTACACTATTCTAATGATGTTACATTTGGGAACCCCAGCAGTTTGCTCACTATTCTATATGTAGTTACTTTTGGGGAACACCAGCAGTGTGTTGTACACTATTCTATATGATAGTTACATTGTGGGAACACCAGCATGTTGCTCACTTTTCTTATGTATTTACATTGGGGGAACCCAACAGTGTTGCTACACTATTCTATTGATAGTTACATTGTGGGAAAACCCCAGCGGTTCTACATATTCATAGATGTTATTTTGTGAGAACCCCAACAGTTTTGCTACACTTTCTTTGATGTTACATTGTGGGAAAACCCGCGGGTTTTGCTACATATTCTATTGATATTACATTGTGGGAACCCCAGCAGTGTTGCTACACTATTCTTTGATAGTTAAATTGTGGGAAAAAGAGTGTTTTGCACCTATTTATATGATAGTTACTTGGGGGCCCCGCAGTGGAAATTTTAATTGTTTTCTTGTGGGCCCCAAAGGGCTAAAAATTTTTTGATTATTTTACATTGTGGGAACCCACATGGGGAATATTCTTATAGTTCATTGTGGGAACCCCAAATTTGCTAAAATTTAATTTAGACTTTGTGGGAAAGGGGGTTTTTCTCCTTTTTAAGATATTTAATTGTGGGAACTCCCGTTTGTTGCTCCTATTCTATTGAATTTCTTGGGGGAACACCAGCAGTGTGTTCTCACTATTTTTTAATGTATTTTCATTGGGGAACACCAGCAGGTTGCTCACTTTTCTATAGATATTTTACATTGGGGGAACCCAACAGTGTTGCCCCCTATTCTATATGATAGTTAATTGGGGGAACACCAACAGTGTTGCTCACTTTTCTATATGATAGTTACTTTGGGGGAACCCCGCGTGTTGCTACACTTTTCTATATGATAGTTACTTTTGGGGGAACTCCAGCAGTGTTCTACACTATTCTATATGATTTTACTTTGTGGGAACACCACAGTGTGTTGTACACTATTCTATATGATAGTTACATTTGGGAACCCCAGCATGTTGCTACACTATTCTTATGATAGTTAATTGTGGGAACCCCAGTGTTGCTCCTTTTCTATATGATAGTTACATTTGGGAACAACAGCAGTGTTGCTAAAATTTCTATATGATGTAACATTGTGGAACACCGCAGTGTTCTACATTTTATATATAGAAAACATTGGGGGAACCCAGCAGTTTTTTCTACACTATTCTAATGATAGTAACTTTGTGGGAACAAAAGCAACTATTTACCTGTCAATTGCTCCACAGGAGGGTACATACTCAGGTCATGAAAGTGTCAGTCTGAGTGGGAGACTTCAGTAGTGTCAGTCTGAGCGGGGAGATTCATGTGTCATCTGGTGGGAGCTTCAGTAGTGTCAGTTGAGCTGGGAGATTCGTATGTCATTTGAGCGGGGAGATTCGTAGTGTCAGCCTGAGCGGGGGGAGACTTCGTAGTGTCAGTCTGAGCTGGGAGATTCATAGTGTCAGTCTGAGCTGGGAGACTTCGTGGTCGTCTGAGCGGCAGATTCACTTGTCAGCCTGAGCTGGGGACTTCGTAGTGTCAGTCTGGCTGGGAGACTTCAGTAGTGTCCCTGAGTGGGGCTTCAGTAGTGTCATCTGAGCTGGGAGACTTCAGTAGTGTCACCTGACGGGGGAGACTTAGTAGGTCGTCTGAGCGGGGAGACTTCGTAGTGTCGTCTGAGCTGGGAGCTTAGTAGTTCAGTCTGGTGGCAGATTTCACTAGTTTCAGCCTGACTGGGAGACTTCAGTATGTCAGTCTGAGCTGGGAGACTTCGTGTGCAGCCTGAGCTGGGGACTTCAGTAGTGTCGTC